AAAAAAAAAAAAAAAAAAAAAAAAAAACTTGGGAAAGACTTTGATGGGAATTCTTGGCGTCATCTTCGGTTTTGAGTATAGCCGAAATGAAGAATCAAGCAACGTTTAAAAATGCAATCTAGACTCTGACAGAGCATTAGCGTCTGCAAGGCTAACGCCATAAGCACAGTAGACTGACCACATCCACATCTCCGTCAATGAGAGCGAGTCGCGGCGCTGATAAGTTGAAGTCGCCGTACTTCCTGTAGTAAGAAAGATCGGGAGAGTCTGGGATCCGGTTGTATTCGCCCGGAGGAAATGCCCAAGTGCACCACTGCTGTGTATAGTCTGCCTGAAGAACCCTAAGGATGAGTGAAGGCCCAGACTTGGACGCAACTTGATACGCCCCTTCTTCGTTACATGTCTCGTAGAGATAGCTTCTGCTGGCTGAGTTCGTGGCGTCTGCGTAGAAGCTCTCTGTCCATGGTCAGCTTGTTGCGTTGAAAAAAAAGCCCTCACGCCAACTCACCATTTTGCGTGCTAAAGCATTCCGTCGTGCCGATAAGATCTGGACTGGGGCAAGCCGATACGACAACCTTCTTCACATAATCTGCGTAGCCACCGAGTCCTGTCCACGGCTCCCCGTTTGTGTAATTCGACAGTGCATAGTCGGTGGCCTTGATCTCAGCCGGGGCGCTATCATCAGTGACATTACCGCAAAACCAGAAGAAATCTTCCGAATCGTATTCAGGATACCAATTCAGCTCCTGCCAGGTATTCGTGGGATAATTCATCGGCCCACCAAGGGGGAAAGCAATCGTCATTGCAAAGTCGCGAATATCTTCCAAGGCGCCAAGTCCGAAGATGTCCTTGACTTTTTGTATCGCCTCCGTCTGCTGGGATTCAATCAAAGCATCAATCTTGTCCACAATGGCGTTAATTCTGGAAATGCAGTCCTGAGGTCCGTACTTCTGGATTGGCGTGTACCACTCCGGATATTCAACCTGAGCATGTATCGTGCCGCTGGAGGCTATTCCGCCCCACAAAAGGCCAGAGTATTCAACAAGGGAGAACGCAGTCTGCGCTCCCGCAAGACTGCCCCCGTACAGGATCCAGGGCGTGTGAGGGGCGTTCAAACTTGCGTTGATGCCCGGGAAAGCCGCGTGCTGGGCAAAGTATGCATTATCCGCAATTGTCTGTTCCGTCGTCAAGAAACGTAGTTCATCGGTGGTACTTGTTTCAAATGGATAGCTCTCGCCATAGTAGCGGTTCTCGAGAATGACTCCCAAGCCATTCGTAGCGTTCATCAAAATCTGAATGATTCCCGTCTGCAAATTCGAAAAGCGACTTTCGCCACTTGTCTCGCCGCCAATGTACAGAAATACAGGCCCCCCAGGTTGATAGTAGGTGTCGTCAAAGAAGTATCGCTGCTTGAACGTGGCGTTCGTGTGCGGGACGTACCGATCAGAGTCCGGGAAATGGTCTACGGGCATATCTATTGTGTGCGCTTCATACGATTCAGGTCGGCCATTGCCGTCCCTACGAGAAATTCTTGCCCATGCCGGCGCTGAACGAACACTGCCGCAGCAAAACAAAAGGGCGAACAGGTAGGCTGCCAAGCTTTGCATTGTGTTTCACCAAGCTCGACAAGCAAAGGCCGAGAGAAGCACGACCTGGGGGGGCTACATCCATCTAAAAAAGGCCCCATGATATTTTTTTTTTTTTTTTCGTCTGCTTGGATCTCCTCGACGGAGTCCTGCGGCACCTGCGATGTAACTAAGATAAGCTCGCCGGCCACATCGAGGGGCGCATGATTTCCCCTCCAGATCAACCCAAGTACGAGCTTCAGCCTTCCAGATTCGCGATGGCGCGGTGACGATCCTCGCCGTCACAGGAAGGTGTCAATACGATCTAGTAGGCATCTCAACGATGTTCCGATCTCACTTGCACCGTATTCGCCCCATGGTTAGACTTAGACCAGCGCCCGAGGGAAGATAACTGGTGATTTTCGGTGTTTATCAAGATCGTCCAAGGAAAGCGAAATACCGCGAGCGAGTGCCAATTGTGCAGCAAGCGAGAATGCGGACACGTCACATTCGTCTCGGAGAGAAATTTAATCTGGAATCACGAGTGCGTCTTTAATTCTGGACGATATTTCCTCGTGCAATGACGCAAATCTAACGCTCCTCGAATTCCCAGTTCGCTATTTTTAGACATGCTTTAACATCCACGAAATTTTCATCTTGATCTGTAGCCTTCTCCAACCAGTCGGCTGTGCCATGTTTGTGGTGTTGCAGTACTTCTGTACAACTGGATGCATATTCAAGGGAGGATCATGCTGAGACTCGGGAGTCTGCCTTTGATTTTCGAGTTACCAAAAGGTTTCCTATGCGGGCCATCTATTAATTGAAACTCGTCCATTGATTGAAATGTGGATTCTAAGATCAAAGCCTGGCACGCGCGCAAACTATGGTCGAATTGTGCCTTCAGCCACGATTTGTTTACGGATGAATCAAGGATAGATCCGGCGATAAGATAGATCAGTGCTTAAGCACGGCAATGCGATCGAATGGGATGTGATTGGGGAGCCTCTCCTCGTATATCATGAGGTACCTTCAGCAAGTCTTAAGTGCTGCTTGTCGGAACCAAGCACTTTTTCAACAGTTTGTATCAGTTGAAAAACACTACATCCACAAGCGAGTCCCGCGTGGGCGAATAATAAGGTATCTGCCGAGAAAAGTTGCGAGCCAACGCAAAGGGTCATTCTTGTTTGTACTTTATGGCCGGTAAGAACGTGGAAAGGTATCCATCGTTAGCTCTGCACCACGCCAAGCAGCAACCATTATCTTTGTATAACTTAGCCTCACCGAGCGGCGGATGATGGCAAAAGCCATTGAGCCTCAAGCAAATTGCAGGACAAGAAGCCGAGCAGTTCCTGTTCGTCAGCCATCCGCAGACACGACTACGGATAGGAGCCGGCATGTAGCCCCCGCGGTGGTGTGTACAAATGGCGGAGGGTTTTGCAGTTGGTTACCCAAAGTTGAAATCTGGGGGTGACTGATTTTTCTCGTGACATCGAATGACATCATTTCAAGTTGAATTCATTAAATGCAGAATACAGTTTGGTTTGTAGGAAATAAAGAGTAGCGACCCTTCAGTTCATGAAGAATGTCGAAATGCTCACCCCCAGACTTGCACCTTCAGCTACTACAGTGAGGATGGATTGAAGAAGCGAAGAGCTTCGTTAAAGGCAGACTTCGTTTACATCTCTCGTCGTGGCATCGGTGCTGTTTCACAATGCGCTTGCAGAAGAGATTATTCTGGGGAACCTGGATTTCGGTTATTTTTTTTTTTTTTTTTTTGTTTAAGATGAGCAGGAAAATATGCTTCCTTTTATATTTGGAAGATCTAAGTTCTATCCAAACGAAGACGATCAATCCGGTCTATTTCGCAATTCTGTTACCGTCTCTTGGTAACGCCATTCCCGTTCACATGCTTATGAGCCGTCCCATTGCTGTTTCCATGGGTATGCGAATGGCCATTGTGCTCTTGGTCGTGATCGTGGTCATGATCGTGATTGTCCTCTGGCTCTGGGCTTGACCTCGCGCTTACACTCGGGGAAATGAACTCCTCCTCGAAGTCATCTTTGGATTCTTTGGGCACAAAGCGTATCCTAACACGCCGCGCGCCTCTGACCTTCTCGCCTATTCGCGTCCGGACAGCGTCCTCCACGCTGCGTGTTTGCGCAACATTCCAGCTCTTGGGCACGGCCAGTTCCACCTCGAGGAGATAACTCTGCCCAGCCTTGATGCCCTGCACACGTCGAACCTCCACAACTTCCGGTAGTCGCAGAGCGTCAAGCGCTTTGGTCGTGGCACGATGTACCTTGTCCTTGATTTCGGAATCAACGCCTGCGTCTGCGAGCTCGACTAACGATGTATACGTGTTCGCCCAGCCTGCGCGGACGACAAGCCATGAAATCAGCAGGCCGCCAACTGCATCGGCACCCGCAAAAGTGGGGAAGATGTTGGACACGGCGATGGAGACGAGAGCTGCAATTCCGGTGAGGGAGTCGACGCGGTGGTGGACGGCGTTCGATTCGAGGACGGAGGATTTGCGCTCTTTGGCGACCTTCATGGCTGCGTTTTTCTCAAATTAGTACATTGTCCGCTTTCTGCATGCCCGGCTAGATTCTGAAACGTACTCGCTCTGTAGAGCCATTCCTTGACGAGCACGCTCCCTCCCGCTAGCCACGCTGCCTGTATATTCGGAATCTGGTGATCATGACCGTGCGAGTGGCCCGCCCCGATATGTTCCATGATCTCTGCAAAGGCGGGAAGGTATAGATGGCACAGTTCCAGAGCAGAGCTCCAGCCCATGAGCACGCCGCCTACGAGCAGCAGCGAAGAGACGCCTAACGAGCCCAACGACTCGAATTTGCCGTAACCCAGGGGGAAACGTTCGGTAGCGGGCTTTAGGGCCCACGCCACGGTGGCCAAGGTCAGGAAGTCAGATACCAGATCTGTGAGGCTGTGCACGGCATCGGCAGTCAACGCTGGAGAAGTTGAAGTCCCAGGGTTAGCTTATTGCACGGATGAACGGTTGTGTATGTCTGGCCTAGGGTCCGTATCAACAGGTCGACGTACCTTGAGAATGGAAGACATAGCCTCCAATACCTTTACCGATGGCCATGCCTAGATTCACGTACAGGCCTATTCGGGTGATGCGCACGCCGGCGTCGTTCTTGTCCGTCGACGTGAGATAGGTGGTGTCGTGGTGATGATGGTGGCCACCGCCATGATGCGAATGGCCGGCATGGCTCCTGGTCTGGACTCTGGTTGCGGACATTGCAGATGGAAACCGTGGCGAAAAAGCGACCGATATCAGGGCGACGGAAGGTCTTGAGGTGGTCCAAGGCGCGACGAGAGCGGCATTACATGTACTGCTGTTGCGACTTCCAGTTGAGTTTGTGGTGAAACGCTGGGTCCGGAAGTTCCGAGCAAGCAGTACGCGTCGCTGCTGAGCTGCACCAGGAAAAGAGGACGGCGTCGAGACCTGAACCGTCGACGACGCTGGCGGTGACAATGATGTACAACGATCCCAGGCCACGCCCCTGAGCGTCAGCTGGCGCACGACACGCAATGGCAGCGGGGACAGACGCGGCGAGCTGCAGCAGCGACCGCGTGCTGCTGGCAACATAAAGGGTAGCAAAAAGTCTAATGAAGGCGTGGGCGGCCCGGGGGATCGACTGGATTTTTCGTTCACATTGTCGAGGGTTTGCGAAAAGTCAAAGCCGGTAAGTGATGCTTTGTTGGGTTCTCGTCCCACACAGCAGGGCCGACAGCGCAGGTGGTGCCGTGATCAAGAGAGACCGACGCAAGAGATGGAGCCGGTGCCGGTGGACCCTCTAGTCGGGGCCCTCGCGACTCGCGAAGACCCCCCAAGACTCCCTACGAGACCCCCCTAAGAGTCCCCACGGGAACCCCCTACAAGCCCCTGCGAGGCCCCGACGAACCGCCCAAGCCCCAGGCCCTCTGGCCGACCTCCCGTCTCATCCCACGCGCAGAGTGCCTCTGCACAATCCTCCTGCCACAGAACTGTCTCGCGCTCTAGCCTCCACCCGAGACATGCGAGCGGACACGCAATGGCGATGCTGCAGAAGCCTCTGCCACCGACGTTGGCGCGCGACCGCGGCGCCATTGCTTGCGCACGTTCGCATTGATGCCCAGCCTGGCTGTGCGACGACACCGCGTATGCTATGACGACATCCAGGGCGTCACGTCCGTTTCGCGCGTCGTTCGCATCGCCGTATGCCTTTGGTGCCTCCACCGAAGCGAGTCGGACAGGAGCTGATGGGAAAGAGGCAAAGATTTCATTAACGGGGACCATGGGGGCACGCCATCATGCAAATCCTTTCGTTTCGTCACAGTGCTCGTCCTGACGACAATCACCAGGTCCCATTTCCACGTACCTGGATCCGCAAGCAGCGCTCGGCAAGAGGGCACGCTCCCAGAGCCACGACCGCAATCACGACCGAAAGCACGCCCACGCGAGCGGAATGCAACCGTCGTCGTCTCCGTCGGCCGCGATGGACACTGCCTGGACGAGCAGAGCTGGCCGGCGGACGGCCGCGCGCTGCCCAAAGGCCAGTGGCCGCACACCGGCGTGGCCACGGGTCTGCGCGCCAAAACGCGCCGCCCATCGCTCGCTGAGGATCGACCGTAGGCGCTGAACCATTGGCCCATGCGCATCCTCGTCATCTCCGACTGGTTCAGCCTTGCCCAGCAGCCAACGTCCCGTTGCTTTCGCTTGCTCATGCGTCCACGGCTGCATGCTGTGTGTTGCCTGCCTTTTGACGCCCGCAAGGCTAAAATGAGGCTTTCCATTCTGACCAAGGCCAGAGGCATTTAAACGCGCCCGCCGTGCGGGAAGGATTCTGCTTTGTTTCAATTCGACCCAGAGACGACCGCTTTTGCGGCTTCTCTTTGGCTGGCCATTCTTCACCTAGGTACGGCCCATCTTCGCTCATCATGGAGCGTCGTCTGAGCCTTGTCTGTGGCTCTGAAGCTGCTGTCATGGATCTTTGATGTCTTTGTGCTGCGGTAAACCCATTGAGCAACCGATCGAGCGCTGTGATCAAATCAAACTTTGCCGTTGTTAGACCACTGCTCTATTTCGTACTCTCCACATTGGTCTTGTCTGCTACCCCATCCCGTTTCATTGGAGACCGTCCTCACTGCGTCTTCACACTGCCCTGCGTGGTCGTTTTTTTTGCTCTCCACTCTACGCCCTCAGCTTAGGAAAACGCCTCTTTGAATCCTTCAGCGCCATCTCGTTTCGCACCGTCGTGGTCTCTCCAACATCGATCGGATCTGCCTCATTTCTCCACTGTGAAAAACAACGTTTGCTTTCTCTATCGTGGCTCATGCTGTTCTTCAGGCGAGCGCTAAGTTTGCCGACCCAATAAATATCACGGCTCTGCCCACTACCATTGTCGGGCAGATGTCCAGGCTCTCCGCACTGCACTAGTCACTTGGAATATTCCAAGGGCCACATCAGCCCGGGGACGAACACAGCTGGACAGAATAGCCACGGCACTCACCAGACATAATGCCAAAGGACCAGCGGCAGCCGTCGTCCTATTATCGGTACGATGCATTGCAAAGATCGGCAGACCAGTCGATTACTCATCGTCAAACTTCCATATGGACAGCTGAGGATGATGAGACACTGATAGCGGCCCGCGCACAAGGCATGAACTGGCAGCCGATCGCAGATACCCACTTTCCAAACAAGTCTGGAAACGCGTGTCGAAAAAGGCATGAACGGCTGATGGAGAAACGAAACACCGAAGACTGGGACGGGGTCAACTTTGAGCGATTGGCAGTCGCATATATGGCCGCTAGGGAGGAGATGTGGAGCATCCTCGCCGCGCGGCTTGGAGATAAGTGGACCAACATCGAGGCAAAAGTGAGTTCTTCAGATTCGTATTCGTCTTGCCTTGTTGCTGATCTTGGCCGGCTGCAGTGCATGGAGAAGGGAATCAAGAACATCTCAGCAGCGTTCAAGGCGGCCAAGCGGAAGGAGCGAGGTATGCGCATCACTCCCCGCCACGACTACGACCCGGATTCGGGCTTTGGTGGCTCTGACACGGACGCTGAATACGAGTTAGACTTGGTTTCTACCAGAGCGTCAGGCAGTTCAACCGTCGACGAGCCAGCTAGATTCGTTCCCCAAACAACGACGACGACGACGACGACGAGGACGGCGGCGTCGGGCTTGTTGGCGTCTACAAGTCCATCCCACATCGCCTCAGCCAGCCCTTCTTTGATGACTTCAGCAAGTCCCTCGCTTATGGTGTCCACAAGCCCTTCACTTAACAACTCACATGGCTCTTCCATGGGCTCTTCCATGGGCTCTTCTATAGTCTCATCATTGGGGTCCTCCATGGGCTCATCAATGGGCTCATCGATGGGATCTTCCATGGGATCTTCAATGGGCTCTTCAATGGGCTCTTCAATGGGCTCTTCAATGGGCTCTTCAATGGGCTCTTCAATGGGCTCATCTATGGGCTCCTCTATGGGCTCCTCTATGGGCTCCTCCATGGGCTCGTCAGTTGGCACCTCCATGATTGCTTCCAGTGCACAGTATATGCAGAACTATTCTCAGCAGAGATATCACTCCATACCAATACAGCATATGCCAGATCAAGGGTTGATGATCCGTGGACCACCGATGCACGCAGATGCACATGGGCGCAACATGAGCATACATGCCATGCTCTCACCTAGCCCTCCGGGTGACGATGACGAAGAAGGATGAAGCTTAGACACGAGGAAGAAAAATTCAGCGATAATTTTTTTCCAGAGAATTAAAATTTGGGAGGCTATAGCGATTGATATCGACGTCGAATATATCACACATTCTTTTTGTCTTCGGTTCTGATCGACACACTCCTTCGACAGCGGCATTATTTGCAAAACTTTAGAAAGATATGTGCATAGGCTACATGCGCAGGTATCGGCGGATCTTGTGGCCTAGGAGCGGCATTTTGCAACGGATCAATGGCTTCCGTATTTGTACTGCATTCAGTTCCGTCGATGATACCAGCTGCTTTGGATACGACGAGTTTTACCTTATTACGATCAGGTCTATTTTTCTCAGCTACATTCACAATGATAACATCTCAACGATTTTGAACGACATCACAACTCCGTACGGACAGTTTGTCATTCTGCAAGTAGCCATAGTACTTCTGCGTAGTGACCTTGTACAGTGCACTTGAGAAAAGCAACAACGCCACAAGCCAGCGTCACCGTAGCCTACACCATGCACGATCCTTCCGCAACAAGCGCCGTGCCTCTCAATTTCCACAACTCTCAGCCAGTCAGTTACCACGCAGCTAGGACGAAGAGGGAAAAGAGGAAAATGAAAAATTAGCCCAACGCCCAACCTCCTCCCCTTTGCGGCATGTCGAAGCTTCCGGCACACGCGCGCTCTTCTGAAACTGGTGCTTTAGCCGCCGAGAGGGCGTCGGCAGGAATCTGGCGTCCAGCACGGTGAGCTTTATTTGCGAAACCCTGCATTCCGGGACGAGACGAGAAGAGAAGAGGCTGATGGTCTTCCCATCATCCTGGGTCGTTGACTACGGGGGCTTGTGGACGCCGCAGCACCTTTTCACGCCCGTGGAGGCTTGAGGTCCGCATGTGGGATGTGTGCCTTGGTCCTGGAGAGAGCGACTGAGGACCAACGGACTTGCATGCGGACATGGGATAGACTGCCGTGAACTGGAGAATGCAGATATGGCTGTTGTTTGCATGCCAAAGCCACCACAGCGTGGTAACTGGCGTCAGACAGCTCTTGGAATCGAAATGATCCAAGCGTAAAAGGCATGCTCTGAGAGCAGACTCCGGGATTATCGTAGGCGTTTTTGAACGTGCATCAGATTTACGTGGAGACGCGCATTACTTACAGATGGAAATATATACATACGTACATCCATACATATAAATATATAAATATATCTGTGTGTACATGTACGTATGGATATGGTCTACTATAGTTGTAGAGATGGTGTTCTTTGCTAACTAGGAACCGGCAGTGAAAGCTAGCAGATTGTTGCATGGAACGCCTCGTCGTCCATAGGAAAACACCAAATTGTGGACCGCACTTTTCGCAGTCTTCTTTTTTCAGTCCACGTTAGGCCCATCGACGGCCAAAGCCAGCGCATGAATGCTGACAGTAGGCAGAATTCGCTAGATGTTATCGATACCTCGCTCCTCGAAGCGCTAACACTAAGCTTCTTCCAGCTTGGCGCGTGAATCTCTATGACGATTGGAGGTCGTCGCGAAGAAATTGTGCGATAGAACTGGCAACCAGCACACATTGCGTTCGTGGTTGGATGCAGCGAGACACAAGATCGCTGCCTCTTGAGTGCGTTCGTTTCATTATGATTCTTGCCACTCGCACAACATTGGTAAAGAGCCAGGGCTAAGTGGGTTCAAGCAGGACGCAGCTCCAAGCAAAGTGAGCCACGGCGGGAGAAACTGTCTTGCGGAGCAATGCCATTGATGCGAATTCCTTACACAGATCCGCTCCCAGCTCCACGCATCATCCCTCCTTCCGCCAGTACCGTGAGCGGTGCCATTGCCGCTTTTTCCGAGTTTCTCAGCAGTCGCTCGTCAGGTTCGCCGACCTCAGCGTCGAATACGGTGCTGCTCTCCGGCGCTGGCATTTCGGTTGCCAGCGGGCTGGCCGACTACCGGGGAACAAATGGCACATACACCCTCAACAAATCATACAGGCCTATCTACTACAACGAATTCACCTCTCATCACGCAGCAAGAAGGAGGTACTGGGCACGCAGCTATCTGGGTTGGCCGAATCTCGTAAGGGCAAAGCCAAATGCGACGCACTACGCTGTTCGGGACCTTGGGAAGCTCGGCATTGTCAAGCAGGTGATTACACAGAATGTGGATTCTTTCCACCCCGCAGCGCACCCGGATCTGCCCACGATCGAACTGCACGGCTACTTGAGAGCTACGGTGTGCCTCTCGTGCCGCAAGGAGTATGACAGAGAGCAATTTCAGGATCAGCTCTCAAGGCTCAATCCTTCATGGCATGAGTTTCTGCAGGAAATGCTCGATTCGGGCGCGCTGGCTACGGAGGACCCGCAAGTGCGCAAAGCACGAGGACTGAGGACGAATCCAGACGGCGACGTGGACGTGCCAAACGTAGATTATACTACATTCCGGTACCCCGCTTGTCCAACGTGCTTGAATTCACCGCCCAAGCTTCCCGACGGGTCGATCGGCAGAGTCGAGGTCGACAAGGACGGCGCATGGGCGCCGCCGTCCAACGCTGGCATCCTGAAGCCTGCCGTAGTCATGTTCGGCGAATCGATACCGGCTGCAGTGAAGACCGCGACAGAGTCTGCCATCGATCGAGCGTCGAGACTCTTGGTCGTGGGAAGCAGTCTGGCCACGTACTCCGCTTGGAGACTCGTGAAGAGAGCAAAAGAGCAGGGGTTGGCAATAGCAATTCTTAACTTGGGCGGAGTGCGCGGTGAAGAGCATTTTTTCGCAGACGTGCCCGCAGGAAACACCGGAAGATATGCTGTGAGAGCCAACGAGCATTCCGATCATGTGCTTCCGCACGTGGTCAAGATCTTAGAGGAGTTGAACGATATCCATACACGCAGCCAAAGAAGTGTGAGGGCAGCTTAAGTCATTTACATAGAATAGGTTCACCCGTCACTTCTAAGCACGCTATCTCGTATCCTGTGCTTCTGCTCACGCCTGACCAAAAGTGCTCTCCGCTTCTGATTTTCTTGTTTTCTCTTCTTGCCCGTACTTTTGGCACATCGCCATCTTCGGAGTGCGAGTCGGCTACACGAGTGGTCTTGACGCTTTCGTGCCGTCGATGGCGTTAAAAGCCCTTTGGCATCCGTCATCGAGCCTCTCCTTGAGATGAGCAAACGCGCAGCTACCAGCAGATCATGATATGAAGTATATGAATTTGCACACTGCACGTGTCGATTGACCGATGGGCAATGGCCTTGGGACCAGAAGCCATGAAGATCGACAGATACGTGGGAATCCTTCGGGATCACGCGTCAGCATTTCATAAGCCTCCCGTGGGAATCGTGACGTCCCGAAGTGTTTCCACTTGCAGCTTCGAGTTAAGTCAAACTCGAGAGCCGTCCTTGCCGCTCACGACAAGTTTTTTCTGCTCACAAAATTGCGGACGGAGGGCTTGAGGTATCCAGATTATATTCAGCAAAGTTTAGGGTAAAATTTAAACTAGGCGGATGCTTACTCGTCTACAATTGATCCACTATGCTTCGTACTGGGCATTTGCTTTTCCTCCCAAGGAGTCACAGCACGCAAATTCTGGTCTATGATGCATTCTTCTCGAAACCTCACCGTCAGAATGTTCTCCTTTCGCGGAAGTCTTGTTTTAATCATGGGCAGTTTTCATCGTTTATCGTCTCTGCTCCTAGTTATCGAGGCGAAAAGCTTTATGCATTCAGAATCACGATGCGGTCAAAAATACTGCACTTAAAAGTGCTAGCTTCACCACAAAATACTTGGGTTCACAATACGTAAGAAGTCAGTATGTCTACTTTGAATCAACACCATGAGAAAGATTAGTTTTTGTGGGATGAAGAGAAAGGCCAAGTGGCTGGTTATGAATAGAACTAGTCATTCGTAACGGCTTATGTTACAACGGTTGGGTCTGGATGTGAAAAGTCCTCAAAAGCCTGCACACAGATGGGAATAGTGAACAGCAGGTTCTCGTTGAGTCAATGGCACCACAAAATCGCCCCATTCCATGTTCGGGTTGCGACCGATTCTCTGCAAGAGATTCGATCTGTAAACATTAGAATAAATTTCGTACGCTATATACAACAGAAAGGCTCACCCTCGATCCTGCATACCCAAACACCAGGAATGAATGCCAAAAAAGAACCAAATCCGATCATTACACAACAACGTCGGCAACTTCGGGAGCAAGACCGTCGGTCACTTCAGGAACGACACCGTCCGTGACGCTCGGGATCAAGCTTGGCGACACATCGTTCACGACACCCCGCTTGATGACCACATCGGCGACTGCAGGAACCACACCGTCGACGACTTCAGGAACCACACCGCCGACAACCGAACTAACAACGCCTCGCTTCTTGACCACGACGTTGCCGACCTCTGGGACGAGACCATCTTCAACAGCGGGCACCACGCCATCCGTGACGCTTGGGATCAGGCTCGGAGAGACGTCGGTGACGACGCCTCGCTTGATCACAACATTTCCAACCGCTGGAGCCACGCCATTGGTTACCTCGGGGACGACTCCGTCAACGACCCCCTCGACAGCCCCACGCTTCTTGATGACGACGTCGCCGACGGCGGGAACGACGCCGTTCAGGACTTCTGGAACGACGCCGTCGACGACACCCGGGACGACCGTCGAGACGACGCCTCGGCGTCCACGCTTGATGACGACTTTGCCGACGGCCGGCACGACGCCGTCGACGACCTCTGGTACGATGCCCTGGGTGACGCCAGGCACCACTTCGCTGACGACGCCGCGCTTGGTGTTCTGAGGGACGACGGCGGTGGCCACGTCGGGCACGGCCTCGCCGAGCACGTCCGTGAGCACGGGGCTAACTGTTTCGCCAACGACGGGGAGCACGTTGTCGACGACGTCAGTCCCCGGTATGCCGAGCAGCGGAGCGGCGGAGACGTAGACGGCCGAGGCCAGGATGGTTGCAATGGCGTACTTCATCGTGATCCGAGTGGGAAGGCCGTTTCTGCGCAAAAAGGAGTGACTTGAGTGAGTTATTTGCTTCGACAAAAGAATGTGTGGGCGACGGTGGAGGCGACGGCCGAAAGTGAATGACGAAGAAGAGATGGAGGACTCCCTTGGTGGAGCGCAGGATCCAAGAGCTTCTTATAGCATTTTCTGCTCGGTGTTGATCTTCTTCTCCCTCTCCCTCTCTGCAATTCCTATCCTCCATGCTCTTGTCATGAGCTACATGGTAAGGGTGCGGGTCCGCAGTTCAACATTTCCCAATCCGTAGCTGACTCTCATCTCGCACGCTGTCAATTCTGCACTAGCCACGCAGAAGAATATGACGACCAGGATCGGTCCTGGGCCGCCTTGATACAATGTGTTCGAATTGTCATGTACGCGAAAGAGAGATCGTCGTGAGATCTGCTGGATGGTGGTCCGGCCCCCTCCACCCCTGATCCGATAGTCTCGAGAGTGCCATGACTCAAGTGGACCGACTGAAGAAAACGTTTGCAGCCTCGACTTTGTGGGGTCCACGCGAGCGGCAAGCACGTTCTTGTTGTTGTTGACTTGAAACGGCGAATCTCTCTTGCAGCAGTGAACGTTGCATCACCTCCTCAGCCGACTACAGTCTCTAACGCGGACCAGTGTCTGTCTCTCTTACTCCAGAATGCCATGCGAGCTCAAGTGGAATCAACATCCAGCAGGGTTCCCCTTCTCCTTGAGAGCGATCCACGCAGCTGAGGAGGATGTTCGCAGGGATGCTTGTCCCGGCTAGTGTAGTGATAACTTCCCAAACCATCACGTCTTAGACCATTTTGGGCCGACAAAAGTCAACATACTTTGGCATTTCTGTCCAAAATGCGCAGAAACATTCCGATGCACATGTTCACGTCGAAACGGGGACGTAGTGTCGTCAAACGCACCAAGTGTGGCTGCTGGGAAATCACGCCGCGCACGTGCTTTGCTTGCGCCTACGTTATTGTCCTAACGACTCGCCATCGATAGTCTTTCAACGGTCTGACTTTTGAGCTACGTCGTTCTTGGTCACGAGCTCAACGACACGAAGAAATTAAGCTTCGACCCAGTTCGCGTTTGCGCATTTCAATCTTACCAACGCTTTTTTGTTCAACTTTGTACGCTTTTCAACGGCCCTAGCGCTGCGCGCAAGCTGCCTGTCCACGCTTCCGATTATGTGCTTGACGAGGATGATCATGATCTCCTCTGTCCATGGTACCAAGTCGACACTTCGCTCACCCTGAGATCAGCTGCTAGTGGAAATCTCGGACAGGCCAACTTACCATACGGGTCATTCGTGTAAATGGTCTCGTCTACATCCTGGATTGTCATGGCCCAGCGTCTTTCCGCGTTTGAACACATCTATCCCAGACAAGGCCTCGGCTTTGACGAAGTGACGTCTGGAAGCTTTCTTTCTATACATTAGCGGGGAGCCATCGTTTCATTGCGTAGTATTGCTTCGTGTGTCGACTCAGTCCTTGTCTTTGCGGCTTGACTCTTGAGCACACACAGGTCACCTACTGCTCAAATGATGTCTTTTGGGGAATTTCGGAATTTTGCCCAGTACAAGCAGGGAAAGAATAGGAATGGACGTCTGGATAGTTGCGAGCGCTAATTGTGAAACTCAACCCCTTCTGTTCGTCTACGCATTGGGCAGAGTTGCACGTACGATTACGAATTTCCCATCAAGTTGTTTGGATGCACGTATCAAGCGTCGAGGTTCCCTAAAGCGACTGTGTTCATGTCTCTTCTGCGGAATGAGCAGCATCAGGTCAATCTAGTTGCTTCAAAACGAAATGGGTGCGATGATCACCGTACTCGCAATCTAAGGAGCCGCAACATTAGCTACGCACGCTACGCTGTTGCGGGACAGCCCACTTTCACCAGATCACCCTTCCAGCTCCCCTTGAGCATTATCTCAGCTAATCCTGGAGCACCCGTTGGTGCAAGCAGCGTTATAATAAACGACCCTAGACTAGGCTAGATATTCTAATTGAAATTTTGGACACGACTGCAGTATGTACACACGCACAGTCCTCCTAAAAGATTGGGCGAGAGTTATAAATCTATCCATCCAGCTCATGGAAATGTAGTCAAAGAATTGGCATAGCTGCAAGAGCGGTGTAGGGCGTCATCACACATTGTTTCACCACCGGATATTGCTCACACACCAGCCTAAGTTACCGATATCTTTGCTGCCGGCGCTCTCCCTCGACTGTATGTTGATTTCTTTTTGCGGGAGTCTGGCCCTTTGCAGGCGCCAATGGAGTCAATTTGGGGCAAGCACGAAGTAACCCGAGTGACTGATACCGGCCTTGTCTAAGTTTATGCTGAACAGCACACTACTCGACCGCTCAGAAAGCAACAGAGCCCCTTGATCACATTGCGGGAGATCGCCTGGACGCGGCACGTACTCGAACGTTTGAAATAAAAAGGGCTTGTTCCCCCACAGGTCACAAAATCTCCTGGGTTCCAGGTTAAATCCTCCTCGAGCCACCGAGCCACAAAACGACCGTTGCGAATTCCTTCTCGTCAACCCGTCGGTGTTCGAGTCACTGCCTTCTCCGTCCCATGAGCTCGAAAGATGTCTCGGATTCCTGGCAATAATATATGCAAACAGCTGGCGTTTCGCTCCTAAGTTAAGCTGGGCCAGGTGGAATGCAATCATGACCTTTATCGTACGAGTCGACCCTCTACGCGGTGGAATACAGGTCAAAAATTGTGCTTGCACTCATTGTCTCCAATGTCATGCATCGAAGCCAGTGTCGACACTCTCTTTGATCCTTTGCGATGTTTTGCATCATACACTTGATAAGTCATCACGAGTCTTGGGAGTTTGTCTGCATCAGAAGAAGATAAAGAACAAAAAAGGACGATGCTTGCCTCTATGTCTAGATATGGCCAAGTCACAGCAATATACATTACTTTGACATTCCCAAATAAGATTCAGAGATGCGAGCCTTTTCCGCAGTCGATAAGTACTCAGGAGTGATCTGAACATTCTCTATGATTTTGACCCAATTGATGGATAGCTTTTAAAGCTCGTTCGAGGTGATGTGATATACTTTTGCGTAAACTACGATGAAGGCACCACGAAGTTAGATCCGCACGTGAAGATAGGAAGGAGGACCAGATGGTATGTCAACATACGCGCCATCAAAATTGGTCGCAAAACTTCCTTTGTGATTTGTTTTTAGTAGGGACTTCCAAGCTCAATCTGGGTGAGGCGGCACGATAAATCAAACTTTTAGAATCTTGACAAGGAAACAATAAACTCGAGTTGTCAATACTCTTTCGGTCTAGGGCCCCCTCATGTTCGAAGAAGTGGAGGTAATTTCTAGAGGCTTTTTGATGCTTCTCTTTCCTCTACAGGTATCATCCCTATTCATCATCGCCGAAACCAAGGCGCGTCGATGCACATTTTCATGTATGCTTAACTCTTCAATCAAGTACGTGACTTTAAGCAATAAAAGAACCTCGTCAGGCTGTCTCTGAAACATATCGTAGAGTTCATTCCTAGCCCAAACATCATACCCGTGTCATTCTGCTGTTCGAACTCCAAATCAGTCCTGCCAGAAAGGAAAAAAAAAAAAATAAAAACGCCATTCACCATGAATTCTCGTCCGTTTTGATAGCCCACAGCTATGATCATCGAAAGTAGGATCGAATGGAAATTGGTCCTTATAGGTCCTCCAAACCCAGATCTTTGGTAGCCTTCATGTAAGTATCCCAGTCAGTGAGTGCACCCAAGGCACGCCGCTGATGTGCGTTTACCATCGTCAGGGCTAGAACGTAACTTGCTAGACAGACGTATTAGCCAATATTTAGCCTGAAACCATGAACAATGAAAAAACTCACCGTTAACCCAGCCGAAGCCCTCTTTAGCTACACCCTTGAAATCTGCACCCTGATTCCCATACTCCGCCTCTACTTTGTGGGGGTCTGACTTGCGCGTAACGTCGTACTTTTCTACCACCACCCCGTTGTAGTCAACGAAGGCCTTCGTCACCATAAAAAGCCACTTATAGCACAAGCGTTGGCATTCTTCTTCAAAGCCGTAGCGCTGAAGACCAATCCACGCGAGCATCTGCTGAGGGGCCCAGCCGTACGGATAATCCCATTGACGGTTTGGACGGTCGAGGCCTACGCGACCTCTGCTTTCTTCCGTTCCTGAGAGCAGGCCACCAAATGCTTCGAGTTTAGGCAACGCTTCAGCTACAATGACTGCTGCCTGCCGGGGTGTTGCGGCCCCAGACCACATTGGCCAGAACGTAGTCGCACACTCGTACGTCGTCTGCTCCCTTTTAACGGTGTCGTAGTCAAAGTACATGCCCTTCTCTTCATTCCATAGGTATTTATCCATCAAAATACGGCGTTTTCGAGCCCGTCGCTCCCACTCAGCCGAGCGCTCCACGTGCCCGGGTCTCTGGTTCTTCGAAAGCCAGTGGTCCGGAATAGGGAGCTTGTCATTAAACATGGTGCGGATGGCACGTGCAATGTCACACTCGTATTTGTACAGAAGCGAATTCAGATCAACAGTTGCGAGATTGGCAGCAACACCTTCGAGGCGGTATGACGTATCGTGACCCGACTCACGGACGGCACGGTCATGCATGAAGTACTCGTCCAAATCAGGTTCCAGTACGCGACGATGATTATAGGCATCGACAAACTCCTTGAAAGTCATATTGTGCTTCCTGGCGTAAGGGGTTAGGATATGGGTAAAGTGGGATGCCTCCGTTTCAGGAGGGACGCCAACGCCGCCCGGACGGTACCTGGAGAGACCGGTGGTAGGGTCATAGCGAGGAGGGCTCATCCAAACGCTGTAGTATTCTTTGATGGCAGCATAGATGGCCTCCCGGAAAAAGTCAAGTGAACCGGGCTCGTGCTTGATACGTTCGTAACACCGCAGTGCCATATCCGTCAAAAATGGTGGTTGAGATCGGCAGAGATAGTACGTCCGATTGGCGTTGAGAATCTTTCCATAGTGACGAATGCAGAAGCAGAAATGTTGCACCATGGATTTGACCAGGTCAACACGGTCGTCAATAAGCAGCCCGAGCGTCTCCATGTAGCTGTCCCAACCGTACAGCTCATTGAAGCGGCCGCCGGGTACGACAAAAGGCAGGCCTTCTAGAGTCTTTTCTCCGTTCTCATCCACCTTCTCCTCCATCGCAACAGCAAGCAAGCCCGGGGCGTCATTCAAGTCACGAACATACTCCTCATCGTCGGGAACCTCAGCCAACCACTGCACGTCAAGCCTTAGGCCGGGTTGTTGCTTGGCAATCTTGGAATAGTACTCGTACTGCTCAGGGGCACCGCGAGGTATATAAATCCTCGGTCTGGGATCGGAAGTCCAATCTTTAGGATCCCGAGCTACCTGGCCGATGTTGCGTCCGTCGATAACTCGTGTTAGGCCAGGCCAGAACTCGAATTGCACAAGCCGTCTCAGGCGACTGACAGGATTCTCTATCAAGCGCTCCTCATCGAGTAAGATGGTCTTGCGGCCATGCTCTTTGGCAAGAGTGAGTTCCTGAAGCAAGTTACTAAGCCTGTATGTGCCCCGCAGGTCGAAGCGGTTGTAGCCGCCCGACGCAGCCGTACCAATCGACAGAACTTTTGGGCCCATGTCCTCAATGGTAATCTGCATATTCTGGTCCGTGTCTTCCCTCGCCAGCAGCCTTTGTAGTGTTTCCTCGACAGGGATCATGAATTTGCGCGGCTGCGAGCCTCGCTCATCGTGAGAGCCGCGGCGGGCGGGCTGTTTGTAGTCGGTGCCAAGCCATTCTGATCCAAGGTCGGCCGATGATATGACCTGCATACATGAAGGACTCAGTTAGAGCGAACAATACCTTCCAAGGCCGCTGTGCAGGTGTGCAGAGGATCACGGGGCCGATGCGGCAGGTTTGAGACTTACGGAAGAGTAAGTGCGAACTCTGTCTTTCTTTGTGTGAGACTCGCCGTAGTAAATGTGGGCGGCGGACAGAGGATCAAGATTCAAGGTCGACTTGCGGCGAAGCTTGGAGCCATCCGGGCTGCGAGTATTGTTGCTGGCGGTTTGCACATTGGTGGTTCCCGATTTCTGCGAGCTCATCTGCTGGCTTCGCTTCTTTTCTTCGTCAAGAGAGCAGTGACGCAGTTATTTTGTTGGGGAATGGATCTCTTTTCTTGAAGTATGGGCGGTCGCAGGATTCTTTGTCCGGGGCAATGTTCTTGGAAGCAAATAAAAAATAAAGTTAGGACAGATTCGTTGCAGGGTGGCGATCAATGCAAAATGTCCGGTTTGTTCAGTTACAAAGGGCGGGAGCTAGGGACCACGCGTGACGTGGCGATTAATAAGAAGCACAGAGCGGTGGCGCGAAGGCAGTGTCAGTGGAGAAGGTGGTGGTGGTTGTGGTTCTAGTGTGGGCGAGGACGAGGATGAGGATGAAGACGATGACGATGTTGATTGACGATAAGGCGAGCAACGAGGACGATTGTCGAGGTGTACTCCGGTATAGATCTGCTCAGGATGTACGACAGGACGCAGGCAAAGCAACACGAAGAGGTCGAGGAGCGAGGTTTGTAGCTGCTACTGGGAGGTGAGGGAGGGGAGGAAGAGGAAGAGGAACAAGAGCAAGAGCAAGACGCTGGTAGTCACGGCGATGATGTAGTCAGGACTCGACCAGAAAGAGCGACCCACACCAAAGTTTGAAGCAACGCCGCTCTCGCCTGCCCACTTTGTACGTTGGCTGGTACGGACAATCTGAACAGGAACGACGACAGGAGGGAGTGAAAAGAAAAAAAAATCCTCAGCACAGTCGCCACCTGACGAAGGTCCCTTCTCCGAAAGTGCATTGCACTCTTCCATGCCGCCTCCGCATCGTGCACAATTGGCTCTGGAGCGAAAAGTAATAAAGCGTGTTCGTGTGGGCTGGTCGACATCACGGCGCATGGCCAAAGTCTGGGTCCCTGGCCAAGCGCGACCAATGGCGCTGCCCGCCCGCGGCCTGGGTCTCGTGAGGCTGGACCCTGCAGCGCCGCAGCGGCCGTTGTTTGCTCGCAACCAGCTCCGCTCCGTGGCCCCCGACAGAAAGCTTGTTGCGGTTCGCAGACAAGACTCCCGGAATGCTTCGACGGCGTCCCAACAGCAGCAGCCAGTGGAGCGGACGTTGGCTTCAGACGTGCTACGTGGAGGCTCCTGGTCGTCTGTCAAGCCAGCTTATCTTGCATCTCCAGCCTTGCCTGGCGAAGAACAAGAAAGACCAAGGAATCCCGCACCCCTCCCGATGTCGGCCGCCGTCGTCCACCCACCACGACGGAGAGGCAGCCGCGACCCAAGAAGACGAAAGACGCAACCGGCTGCCATTGGGCCAGTCACCGCCACGAGTGGTCAGCAGGAAGCATCACAAGAGCCCCCGACACTGCCTGGCAACTTCCCGCGCAAAAAGACGGTCAAGGAAGCAACCACCGCCCCCACCACGACGCCGCGCACCTCCTTCCGCACGGGGCACACCACGCTGCCACTCTGCTTTGCGGTCTTGTGCCCGCCGGAAGCCGCTGTGCTGGCCTATGACGACACGCCGTCCTTTCAGCCCAGACTTTCAAACTGTAGATGCAGGCCACGAGTCAAGCGGGCTGCTCATTGTCTGTCGTCTCTTACCTCCGCGGCACTGAATGCATACCGCAAGGTGGGAACCAAGAGCGAGAGCGTACCACCGCGTTGACTCGGCCATTTTCGTCTGCATTCTCCTGCCCCGGCCTGTCGAACCGGTCTGCCAAATCGTCAGATCACGTGTCTGTCGTTCACCGCGTTTCACTCTGCTTTGATTGTGATCTTGTTCCTTGTGAGATGCCGTCGTATTTCATGTCTATTTGTCCGCGCATTCAAGTGTCGATCTATGAGTTTGTCTACGGCCCAAAACAAAAACTCCTGCGTTGCAATGCCCGTCCGAGGAAGAAGACCATCAGAGTGCTTTTGGAGGGTGCATGTCGACATAGGCTGCAATGCACACAAAAAGGCCATGTTTGACCGTTGTGCCGCCAGTGCCCTAGCCTATTCCTACAATCTGTGCCCCACGCACCACTACGTATATGTATATATATGTGTGTCTGTCTCTGTGAAAACATGAATATATATAATATCGTAGACGTCTGCAAGCGTCGAGCTCTTATGTATCAATCCTCGCATCGCGTTCATCCAACCACGAGCACGTCCGAGGACGAGAAAATAATGCCACGCTCAAGTCTTCTTCTTTCCAAACACCTTGGGCTCGCCAATATTCTTCCCTCTTAGATACACCTTGAGCACGCGCTCCATGTCGCTTAGAATCTTCTCGTTGGGCGCTGCAGTGCCTCGCTCGAAGTCAGCCACCACGGTAGGCGTCTGATTGATTTTGGTCGCTAGATCCTTCTGTGTCATCGGCTGGCCCTTGTCATTCTTGGCCTCGGCGCGCGCCTTCTTGATCGCGTTGCCCACTTCCGTGCCCACTGTCTTGGGCTTTATGATATCGTCTGAACGGTCTACCTTTGTCAGGTGCTGTCCCTCCACACCTTTGTTCTAGGGTTTTTTCTTCGTCAGCCTACCGTCCAGGCGTCGCCGAAGGCATGTACGAAATAGAAGAAAGCCTGCCTACCTGGTTCGCTGTCGTGAATTTCTTCTCTGTGATGATGGGAGCGCCCGTGCGACGAGCTGCATTGAGAGCAGCCTCTCCTTTGATAACCTTCTCTTTTGGAGCAGAAGGTCCGCCACGGACCCTGCTTCCAATCTTAGTCACGGAGTCCCAGTCGTCGGACATTTTGATCGGGATGTTGTGTGATTGATATGTGCTGTTGACGAAAATGCCAGCGAAGGTATTGCAGGGCTGAATTTGTGAGATGTGCTAAGAGGCTGCCTTATCACGTCTTAGGCCCTCCAAAATAAAAGTGTGTAGGAAAGGGATATCGGGAACTGGTTGCTTGTCAAGTGCGCAATAGTTGAACTATATATGAGTCGGACTTAAGGCAAAGACGCTTGAATGATGTGTTCGCTGAAAGCTTTGGGCAGCCAGCGGTATCCCGATTTGATAGAAGCCTATCGAAAGGTGGCGATGCATTTCTTGCCTTAGGCATCAACTCGCGTTAGGTGCGGCGTGTATCCGATTTATGTCCGGATCTGTCTTCTGTAAAGTTACATAAACACTTCGTAATAGTCAGCTTAATGGACAAGACAAGCGGGAGAAATGTAAACGAAGTAAACAAAGAAAAAAGGACTTGTATTTTCCCGGTCTTTTCAAACATCTGGACCTTATGTGGCTGTCTTATCGTGCGATAACACGCCACGGAATGACAGGATAGATGGCCAATGCCTCTGTGCACTTACAGAAGCATTATTCGGTTTTGCATTTAATGCTCACTCTTCAGCCGCTTCTGCCTACATTTCATTACTTCTAAGCTTCTATGAATCATAAATATTCGTGGCCAATGCGCCTGGATATCTCGTCGTTTTAGCTCCCTGAATTTCTTGCTTGACTTAGGGGTTTATCAGACACGGCTCGTTTTCTTTCCTCCTTTCATAAGCTTTTGAGAAAGACTCGCAATCTCATGTGTAACATGATTTTTCAATTCCTTCTTCTTCTTCTTCTCCTACCTTGAAATACTTCCCGTCCAGATGTTACAATTAGTTGTTCCCCGATCTTGACTCAGAGCTGACCCAATGATATGTTATCAACATCATCACCAGCATGTTCCTCGCCGTATTCAGACGTTCCTGCTCAGTGAGTGAAGAGCTTGTCGCCAGCCTGAACCTCTTCACCACTCTTTTAAAAGTTTCGTCCCTCTTTAGCCACCTATTATCGGGAAAAACCAGTCCCATGACCTCTGCAAGCCCGGCCAAAGTTGTCGCAACAACATGTGATTTAGACGTACTTGTGCGAAGTATCATCAATGCTGCGTCGAGATAAACGTCTCGGATAGGTTTGACATAGTCGACTTCAATCCTGCACTGCTCGGTGAAGAGACCCTGGAGTGCATAGATGTGATCCCGAGGATCTTGGCACATGGAATCTTTCCATGAAAATAGAGCAATCTCAGGAAGAATTGGCGTGGAGATATTACGCAGAGCTATTGAGTCCAGGGCCAACAAGGGCTGCGGGGCGTGGGACCTGTTCATGAGATTTGTGTATTGGCTCCACTCTATACTCTTGTTTCCATGAAAAATCATGATGCTATTTGCAGAAAGCACTTCTTGTACAATCCAAAGACGTGTCCAGTATTCCGCAGAGTACGTGGCTTCGAGCTGAGAAACATCCCATGGTCCAGAGTCATCTTCACGCTCAGCAACATCGGAGTTCGTCGCGTGGGCCATGTCGGCCTCACCCAACCAGATCAAGACCTTCGCCGCTGTCTTGTAGATGTTCCCCATTATCTGCACTTGGCGGTTGCGTTCTGCTACATTCTCCTGATCGATACATACCTGATCAATCCAAATGTAGTCATGAGGATGACGCTTTGCGAAGATATGAAGAAACTGCAGCAGATTACGTCGAACTGAAAAGCGCCTACCACCTAGAAGGATATCGTACATCGGAGCTGGTTTCCCCCAAGTGTATGACAAGGCATAGTAAGACGGTGCTGCGGATAATTCAAAGTCGTAGAGATGAAAACTTAGCAAGTCACCAGAGGTGTCAGGGCGCAACAGGCGGATCTGTCTAGTCGAATCTTCCAAAAGCTGATACCGGTACTGGATAGAGAACGCAGCCGTAGACGTCTGCGACGCAGAGAAGGCCATTGCTATTCGAGTTTAGTCGGAGTGTTTATCATTTGTGCCTGAGAAGGGGAAACTCCAGATTAGACGTCCAATTGAGCGCCTCATCCGTTCACTCGAAGACATGATTGGCCAAGACTCGATCCGTGAAAGTCTACATTAGAGTGCTGAACGGAGTACGAATGTTCGAGACATCTGAGCCCAGCGCAGTGCTAAAATTTGCAAAGACACACAGTTGCAACCAAGATCAGCTATTCGTGCAAGGTTACAAAGAGGGAAATCCGGACAGGGGAATCAACAGCAACAGCACGGAGACGTGCTGAGCTGTTATGAATTGGCCGCTTACACTTTGCGGCTCTATGCGTCAGAAGAATAGTACTAGGACGCATCAACATGATGTTACGTGAACTGTTCCACATCCACGCCCGATGCTCATGCTAACCACGCGTCTACTTCAAGGTTTGCAGCATTATAGAACTGGCTCGACACTGCGGCTGCGCGTTGCAACAAGCACACGAATATTTCCTCGACTGCGTGCTCTGCCCCTGCGCTATGCGAGGAGCCAAGACGCGCTCCAATTGAGTACGTAAGCTTCAGAACAGAGATGCTGCAAGTTACAATGCCGTGGGTAGCACCTTCCACGGGCTGCCCCGCGTGATCATCCTGGGGTGGTCCTTCCACAAGGGGAAAAGTGTCTCTGATTGGCTGACACATCCGCGTGCGCCCTGTCATGGGATGAGCCCGCCCTTGCACAGCCAATCATGCCTGCTGACCTTGCGTGACGTCAGTTCGCGACGTGTGGTTGTTTTACCTTCCCTGCGCACATCCCAGTTCCGCTCTGCGTGAGCTCCGACGCTTCCAGGGTCGCGATGCGGCATGCGACCGCCCTCTTGTGCCGTTCGTGTCTACTTGTATATCTCGCCGTTAGTGCGACGCTGTCAGTCTTGCCAGACAAGATGCTTCTTTTTACAGTCCTTGCTTTTGCAGCGGAGGCTATAGCTTTCGGCCGTACCGAGCACCAGGTCGTCCTAGGAGGTCACACAGGCAAGTATTCCGTCCAGACCCCTCCTCTGGATACGGACTGGACATATCAAGTTGGTACGGAGCCTTGGCCGCAATATCCTCGACCCAAGCTTGCCCGATCCCAATGGCAAACCTTAAACGGTCTCTGGACGTATGCAAACGCATCTGGCCACTCCGCCCTGAAGCATCCTCCGTTTAACCGCACGCTGCCACAGGAAGTTCTCGTGCCGTTCTGCTTGGAAAGTGGTTTATCGGGAATACAGGGAGAAAATACAATTTATTCATGGTACAGAACCACTTTTACGGTGCCGTCCACCTGGACGGGGGATCGCGTGCTTCTTAACTTTGGGGCCGTTGACTACGAGGCTACCGTCTTCGTGAACGGCCACAACGTTACTTTTCATCGAGGAGGCTACACTGGATTTTCCGTAGACGTGACCGACTACCTCATTTCTGGACATAACGAGCTGTAGGCGTCAATTAGACTCAAGTGTGCCTGGCAACGACTGACTTGTTTAGCATCGTATTTGCTTTCGATCCTACAGACCACCACGACTATGTAATACCCGTCGGTAAACAGACCTTAAGACCATCGCACATCTTCTATAGGCCATGTAGTGGTATCTGGCAAAGTGTCTGGATCGAGTCTGCACCGAAAAATTATATAAGCCAATTGACCATTAATGGCGATGCAAGTGGCAATTTGAACTTATCTGTGAGCGTAACTGGCAGCAAACATTCATCCGTCGAGGTTGCCGTATTCGAGAGGGTAAACTAAAGAGATTGCGTTCAAGGTGACGGGAAGTTCACTAAAATTAATGCGCAGGGCACCCACATCCCCCTAGCTACGCATAAGGCTACTGCTGCCTCCCCGATTTCATTCAAGGTTAAGTCTGTAAAGACGTGGTCCCCCAATATTCCAAACCTCTACGATGTTATCATAACCATGGGTCAAGATATAGTTCATAGTTACACTGGGTTTAGAACAATAGAGAGTAAGAATGTCCACGGTGTCCAAAGAATTTCTCTGGTAAGTTTATCGGTAATATGCATAGACATCCGGATAATAGGAGTGAACTCCACGGAGCTGCCATTTAATGAGACCTAATGGTGTACTCGTTCCTCTTCGAACAAGCTTGTCGTGTTCAAGTGAAAAATATCTTCCTTGTCAAAGATACTGAGTTTTGCGCGCAGAACGGCGACATTATCTTCCCATTTGGAACTCTGGATCAAGGTACGTGGGAATTACGGCGGTGACTTCCTTATCCTGATCTAACGAAACTGCTTGGCCTACCCTTCACCAAAGAGCATATCATATATCTTACGACGGATTCCCACTTCATCCAAGAATCAACGCGCTGATCGTAAATGGTCTACAGGATATTGGCCAGATGGACTGTATACGCCGCCTACGTACGAAGCTATGACATACGATCTCAAGATGCTCAAATATCTTGGTTACAACATGCTCCGAAAACATATCAAAGTGGAGCCACCTCTTTACTATGCTGCTGCAGATGAGCTTGGTATACTCATCATGCAGGATATGCCATCCCTAGCACTCACAAGATTGCCCAATAAGGATCAACAGGCAGAATTCGAACGACAAGTGGACGTTATCGTTTCGCAACTAAGCAGTTACTCTTCAATATTCGCATGGGTAAGTGGTTCACAAAGAAAGGAAAGGGAGAAATTGTTTCAATTTTCCAAGCAACCCTAATATTTCGACATAATTATTGCACTTTGGGTGCCAGAAAGCTAATGTCTCAACTCGTTCCTCTGTTCGATGAGGGTTTTGCTATGTTGCTCCGCGTCGCCTACGTGAGAACGTATTACAATGCCATCTACAGACTATGCAGCTAACGAGAACGTCTGATTAGGTCATCTACAACGAAGGATGGGGCCAGATCACATCTCATCACCCAGAATTTGATATTGCTGAAGCCATCTATGCACAAGATCCCACGCGACTTGTAAATGCTGTCAGTGGCTGGCACGACCACGGCGCCGGCGACTTCAGCGACAATCACCATTATACCTTCCCGCGATGTGGCACACCCGAGTACTACTCTAGTACAACTGTATTCGACCCGTCTCGCATTGGCTTCCAAGGTGAATTCGGAGGACCTGGTCACAACGTGTCAGCTGAACACCTATGGAAGGTTAAACAGGCTATTGACGCCATCGATCATACGTACGAATTGTATGATACTATCGATGCTTGGAACTTCCGTAGTCATTTTATTATGACAGAATTGCTTTATCAGACTCAACTTTATTCCTGCGCAGGCGCAGTCTGGACGCAAACAACGGATGTGGAGGGTGAGGTCAACGGGATGATGACCTACGATCGTCGAATCTTGAGGCCAGATGTCATAAGGTGGCGGGCAGATATACAAGTCAGTTGCATTTCCCTTTTTTTAATACCTGAAATGCAGAGAAATTATGAAAATTTTGGCACTAACTTATAACAGGCCGTGTATGATGCTTCCGCACTCCGTGCTAATGGTTCCATACCACGTGCGTCTTGACATTTAAGTGGACTTTGAATTGATCACCGGATGAAGCAAGGAAGGTCTCAAGATTTTTTAAACTATAAATGGAGCATGGACTATCAATGATAAGGCTCCATTGAGTATTATTCGAGACATAAGGTGTACTGTTGGCATTGTGTCCCATTTGATTCATATCATGGCCTTCTCCATTTGATCTAAATTATGAACGAATATTGGCTAATAACCGTGTTGGTTTTCACACTCGACTTCCGCTGAGTCGTTTCCAACTGATGAGACGAATTTACTTCGTCTATCTGTGACTTTTGAGCGAGATCCCAAAGTGCTTGCTAATATGTCAATTTCTCAAAGTCCTTAGTAAATTCGAAACGGCACAGCACTAACTTGTCTTCATCGCCACATCGAGTACTGCAGAATCAGATTACATCCGTAAACACTCCACAAAACGAGGTCTAAAGAAGTAAATCCCAGTGGCAAAGGCTGTTGTGCATAGGAAATGATTTGAGTGAGCTCTCTTAGCTAGTGGGATATGCAAAGATACGAATTTTCATACATGCTACGCTTGTTGGAACAGTGACATGGTCTGATATGGCATCCGTCATATGATATGGTACTAGAAAAGCGCTGTTCAGACCGCTTGCGTTACGACAGAATATATTGTTCTAATTTGCAGCCTGAATCACTGTCCCAATTATCCGATCGCCATCCTCGTACTACCAAGTTGACTTGATGGAAAGATCACAGCCATATCACATGATTTCGATTTTCGAGGAAGAGTCGTTTCGTAAGGCATGTGGCTCATGTTTCGAAATAGTGCTGTTTTAAGGTTGAAGCAGGTTATTAAACCCTCAGCGTTCGACTGGATCTCACCGCTTTGATTCACGACAACCGAAACCGGCATCAATCGGCAAGGAAAACTGAGGTATTTTCGAGAACTGGAATCGGGCGCGGACGCGATCAGTGCGTGATCATTCGATCCTCGATTGTGATAGCGTGCTGACAACATGGATTCCAAAGATCTACCTTGAAGTGGCTCCTTGAGCTACTTTCCATCTCTCATTTCCGTTTGCACATAAAATGTTACAAAGTATGCAAGTGCGGTCACATTTGATCGGGCCAACTACATTGGACGACGTGCAGTTCGCGATTCAGACCCAAGAAGTCAGAAAGACAAGGTCAAAAAGAGTTCGAGTGTCGCGTATTGCGAGAACTCAAATTACTTCGCACTGGGCGACAGGTTACTTCACCGCCAAATCATGATGCTCATGCACTGGGATCCTGGTTTGGCGTTGTCCTGAATGGATGCTCGACCTAGCAGGCGAATAGGAGAAGGGAATGTGTGTGCCCGCATGTCTGCTGCTTGATCATGCAAACCAAGAGTACCAAGAACAGGGGACTGGAATCGCAAGGCGGCATCCTCCCCCATGGGGAACGGAACACTAAACGCTTCTCAAAGGCTCGTGCTGAACCAGAGCCGCGGAGCTGGATCTGGAAGCGCAGCCTTTCGCAGAAGCGAGATCTGGCAGGCGGCAAAGAGCTAAGTCAAGGGTCGGCTCTGAGTTGTGTGAAGTTTGTGGATCGAGGCATCCGTGAACGGTTCACGAGTATGGCCATCATGTATGCTATGCGCTTGGCGGTGCCGACGGGCGTTACTTTTGCGTGTAACCTGGCTAGACCTAGGATGGAGAGACCGGTCTTGTTCCTCGTTCGTACACGCTGATGAAACTGTCGACCCGCGGTTTAACCCCCACACTAATGCGGTGAACAAGTGTTTTGGTTTTCCGGAGCGACCGATGAAATGGTTAAGGTACGGGGCGACATCGACCCGTGCCCACAGCCCCGGACACCTGAAAGAACGTGACCCGTACTCCAAACCGCCAGGACATCCGATTTGTTGCTTCTTCAAAGGACATTAACCATTGGACCACGAAAAGCCACCAAAAGAGGCCTTTGCCGTCTGCGTACCGCTCTGGAGCCCAAGGCCGCCTTTGTAGTATTTTTGGGGTGCTTCGAGAAAAAACCGCAAGCGTAGCCAAAAACATTTCAGTTGTCAATGCAAAAGAAACGCAATGCCGGAAGCTTATTTGCTCTCAAATAGATGCTTTCTAGGGATCATGGAAATGTAGATGGCAAAGCAAGTGTCCGGAAGAAGGCATATGCAAAGGAGCTCATAAACGTTGCCGAGCGAGAAAGCAGTTTGTCCGCGAAATCGCTGGAATCATGATCGAATTGCTGGCACTAAGCTAGCCGACGGCTGGGAGTTGCCATTTCATTGCTGCAGCCGCTCGAGCCCTGCAACGCATGCATAACCTGGACGCCCTTGACCGAAGCAGCGGGTTCAGAGTCTGTGTCCACAAGGCGCACTACATGGCCATCATGCAGAGACGGGATTGTTATGATTCCGGATAGGCAATGGCATTCTGGCTGTGATTGCCTCCACAGGCCTCGTCAGATGCAAAGGATCGCCAAAGGATCAGAACTATCGAATGCACTGTGTGGCTGCCATCCGTGCATCGTTCGCCAATCCAATTTTAATCATCCCCATGCGTTAACTTGTCCACCTTCAAGGATCGCACCTTATGTGAAGTAGCAATGGCGACATGATTTGTACGTCAATGCAATGGTGTGAAGTACATTCTTCTAAACCCAGGTGAGCTCGATCTATCAAAAGCGACCGTCCCCGCCAAGGGATCCATCTTGAGTTATGCAGGCTTTGAAGCGAAATATTCTGGGCTGGAGACTTGTCCTGTACGAGCTGCAAGCCACATGCCGCCGCTGGGCTGGCTTCCTTACGCCAGACGAGGTGGGCCATGCATTTGCAGAATCACGTACGATTCAGCATGTCCTCCATCCAGTACGACATGGGCAGAAACGCAAAGCAATGCCTGTCCTTACACCTTACTTTGCCGCTATTTCCGATTGTACATGCATATCCACTCTCTGGGGTCATCAGGAGCCAAGACGAATCGAGGTCTCTTGCTTTTGAATGCGGGCTCTCATTGTGAGTGGTTAGCCAAACCTTGTACGCTACATGCTCCATTGCGCTTATTGTTTTCTTTGAGTTTGATGTTCTACATATGTAGACGCAGCCTCGACTTAAGCCGCTCTCGAGCTTGCTCGATATTCTCACAACATTTTCTGCTTCTCGCTGAAGATTACTTTCCATTTTTTTGGCGGATGCGTCGCTATGCAACGCCTTCGCTCATGTGTGACGGACGTCTCTGCCACAAGCTATGATGGCCGTGCCGATGAACACGATCATCTAACCGAACATAATCTACATGTTTTTGAGTATGGGGATGTTGCCGTACGCGCTTCTGAATGTATACATAAAAGCTCCGCCACTGACGACTGAATAGCAAGGATCCACCCAACCCACGTATCCAGATATCAGTAAGCATTGGGATGGAGTCAAGAGCTATAATCGAGAACGCATCTTTGAACTGAAGTCTGGCCTCAGAGAGCACGCAGGGAGTAAGCGGCTGTCAGACTCGTCGGACGACTATTCAAACTTCTTCAGCGATGCAGATGCAGCAACAGAGTTGGAAAGCTCCGAGCGTCGAAACAGTCTCAAGTTGTACAAGGAATTTGGGAGCACAGCATTACCTCACGAGCGTTGGCATGTAGTAACCATGGGCTGGCCGGATCAAGCAGCTGCCTTATCACACGCTCAAACGACTTGTAATGAAGAGTTAGAAGCAAACCAGAGGGTAGAAGCGAACCAGAGGGCGGAAGCTCTGGCCGCCAAAGTGGATATGCCGATCTTGGAACAGACCCATAATATCATTGAAGTCGACGAAGATGCCAATAATGAAGAGGCATATGAGGTTGATATTACACAATTCGAACAAGCATGTCGACAAGTTCGAACGACGAGACCAGGGAAGTTTAGGATACACAGAGGAAGCGTAACCAGGATTCGAAAATAAATGTGGCGGTATCTCAAATCATTTAAACCTTCCTCCAATTAGTCGTCTCTTTCCTTTCTGTTTTTCTCTTGGTGAAAGGGCGAACTTTAATCCATCGACAATAATGTGCGGTATTCATCTTCTTGTTCAGTGCACGGTTCCACACAGCGTCAAGGCCACCCGCCTTTGTTATGCTTAAACGCTTCCTCATCACGTTGCTGACACTTCTGTGTAGCTTCTTTGTCTGAACTGGCGCCGCCGTATAGCGATCTAGATACTGTCCTGGTCTTAGCCAGAAAATTGTCTCGTTCTATGCAACTCCGCTTATCGTCTATTATTACCGAATCCAACTGTTTGCTTCGCATCAAGTTTGCAGCTGCCCCGGTCTTCCGGTGTTGTGACTATGTCAGGGCCGCTTGTACAGCCTCCCAGTATCGCTCTGGATCCTTTCTTAAGTGTCCAACGTGCTCTGTATTTTCGTATCTTTCAGTTCGAACGCTATAACCGTTCTCTTTTGCAAGGTTTGCGTTGTATTCTACATCTTTCCATCCGACCATTCTGTCAGTCTTCGAATAGATGTAGACCCTGGGGGCAGAAGTTGGGAAAAGTTGAGGGTCTATAAGCTGGCGTCGCACTTTCGTGATGATATTCTCTTGTCGAAAGATATGATGTCGCACCCACATAGAGGCGCATAGAAAGTGGATGACGAGTAGACCTAGAAGGCGAAGCAGGAAGAAACGCGGCAGGCCTACCGACATAGCGGCGACAGATCTGCCATAGGTGGCCCGACCGGGTGCTGAGTCAAGGACCATGCCTGTGATAGGGAGCGGCGTGTGGAATTGACGCTGGTAGAGGAATGCAAGATGAGCAATGTGGTGTGCACCGCCATTCGAGAACAGATGTAAGAGGATCTTGGGGCTCTGGATCGTCGACGCCGTCTCATGGATAACACGGATGGCGCCCTTCAGGTGTTCTTTATGCTGCTTGTGCGTTTTCAGAACAATGTCACCAATGCTATTGGTTAACATAAGGATAGGAGACTTCGGAAACAGATTTTGATAGCCCGTGACGTATTTCATGATGTGTCTTGGCGCTGCCCCCATCCACGTCGACAGAATCACCAGGTCAGGCTGCTTTTTGATTGAGCCGTTTCCATTTGCAGCATTCGTCTTGGGGCAGTAGTACCAGATTGTGGGAGCCAGCTGCGTAAAGTCAGGGAACGGGCCGTGCGACTGCGTGGCCACCGACATGGTGAAGGACGACTGCGTCAGCAACCTGGATGACCGTAACGTGGACGCAGAAAGGAAAGGGAACTGATCTGCGAACGCTGGAAATCCTTCTTGCAGGGTCCAGATCTTGCTCGTGAGAAGGGTGTGAGCGGGATGTGAGATTAGCGAGGCTAGTGCGAGAACCAAGGTGGACAAGGTCGGAGGCGCAAAAGTGGAGGGGAAAAGCGTCGAGACTCCTGGTATACTTGAGTATCGGAACCTTGACGAGTCGAGAAGGCTGCGAGAAGATGGATGTCTGAGTAGTGCCTTTGTTTCGAGTACTCGCGAAGGCGAGAGGGCTGTCTTGCCGAGGCGTGTGGCGACGGTTGTTGAGCTTGAAAGTTGCGCCGGCGACCCGACTGATCCTCAACGAACGCGGAGAACACGCTGGCCGAAGCGGTCCGTTCCACTTTGCCTCCCTGTTGCTTCGCGAAGAGGGACTGCAGGCCACAAGAGCATGGAGAAGTAATCACAGGCGATGCGGGACTACATATGCTTTTCAGGGTGATTTGCACATGAAGTAGACACGTGAATGAGGATCGACGCGTGCAACCACTGTACGTATCCAAGCGAAGGGACGGCAACGAAGATCGAGAAAGGCCAGGTGACCGGCTAATAGACACTGAAACAGAACGCTGCCATCGTCAATAAAAGGGCTACGAGCGCCTATCAGCAAACAGTTTGTGATGGGCGTACTTGAGTGTAAGGGGAACGATGGTTGCACGATCAGCAGCAACCGAGGGATCTGCTCATCGCATCCCCCAGTAGCGTTTCCGCTGATGTTTCAACTTTTGCTTCTGCTTTGAATCTTCTTCTCTTCTTCCTCACCAATCCCGGCAATCTGCCCATATTTTAGCGCTCAAGCGAGTCAGATAACATCTCAAGTTAAGTACATAGGTCAAGGGTGGTGGTGTTGCAGTACGTTCAAGAGCAGGCAAATGCGCTTGCAATGCCAACCTCGTCGGGTAGATTGCCCAATGCGGTATGGTACCCTTTTCGTGTGGAAGAATAGTCTGAAGCTTATTTCCTTTCAACTTGGAACGCTGTCATACATGGCAACCTCTCGTGAAGGCCGCAAAGGCACAAAAATTCCCGCTCGAAGATGAGAATGAGCTGCAGCACACAAGATTCCTAGCTAATTGGGATCTTGCTGATGTCTTGCGAGCTGCTCTGGATCCAAATTTCGGAGCGCTTTGAAAGTGGAGCTGCCAATAGCGGAACGATAACCTATCTCACCTGCACACTGTGAATTTTCTATTATATAGAAGAGTAGTATATCCGTAGTACCTGAATACAACTCGCACTTCACATATTCGTGTCAAAATGCCGTCAAAGCTGACTGCATTTGTTAGGAATGTTTTAAACATGCCCCTCTACCAGTCAGCGTCAATCATAACAGCCCTAGGCGGTTTTCTCTTTGGACTTGATACTGGAACCGTAGGGCCTGTGACCACTATGGACGCATTTGTTAAGAGTTTTGGTCCTCTTTCCTCAACACTTCACGGGGTCGTCGTTTCGACCATTCTGATTGGCGGCACACTGTCGGGCGTCTTTGCTGGGAATTTTGCTGACATCTATGGTCGTATCCCAACTATCAGCGCCGGAGCCGCTATCTTCGGCATTGGCGCAGCACTGGAATGTGTAGCCCCAAAGCTTGGCGTTTTCATATTCGGAAGATTCGTGAAGGGCTTGGGAGAGGGCTTGTTTTTAGGCACCCTGGTTGTGTATGTCTGTGAAATTGCTCCTGCAAGGAGACGTGGACCGTTGGCTAGCCTCATCCAATTCTTGGTCACAATCGGACTAGCAACGGGCTTTTTCGTCTCTTATGGCACGGCACGAATTGGGCAGAGCTCGGCTGCATGGAGAAGCCCTCTTGCCGTCCAAGCCTTGATGGCATTTAGCTTTGCAGCAGCAAGCATGCGGTTGCCACCTTCGCCGCGATGGCTGCTGGCTAAACACCGAACTGACGAAGCACTTCTTACGCTGGAGAGGCTAGGCTTGGACTGTACAGAACTGGAGCAGATGGCCTCTCGTGCTTCGGTGGCGGATCTTCACGCCGACACCTCATTGCTTGGATCCATCAAGCAAAACTTCACCGATATGACACGCGTGTTTTCAAAAGCGGCAAGAAAGCAGACTGCCTTTGCATGCTTCTTGATGGCTATGCAGCAATTCAGCGGCATTGATGGGGTCTTGTACTATGCTCCATTACTCTTCCAGCAGGCCGGTCTGGCATCTGGCGAGGCGTCCTTTCTTGCATCCGGCATTTCAGCACTCGTCATATTCGCCGTCACAATTCCAGCCAGTATGTACGTCGACCGGATGGGTAGGCGGGCCTCGACTATCTTTGGGGGGCTCGCGATGTTCGTGGTCATGACCCTGATGGGGAGCTTATATGCGAGCCGTGCTGTACACGAAGGTCATGGTGTCGCGAGGTGGATTGTTATCGTATGTATCTATCTCTTTGCTGTCGCGTTCTCAATTACCTGGGCGGTATCGATGAGGATTTATTCAAGTGAAATTCAGCCTGCAGCCACAAGGGCAAGTGCTACGAATCTTGCACAAAGTTCGAATTGGGTTGGTAGTATCCCGCACCAGAGCTCTCCTTGATTTGCATAAGGCTAACCAAAGGGAAATTTTCAGATGGCCAACTTTATCGTCGCTCTCACAACACCAATTTTGCTTGCTCGGTCCTCGTTTGCAGCATATTTCCTGTTTGGCGGTTGCACTCTTCTGACGGTCTTGGTCTGCTTCTTCTTTATGCCGGAGACGAAAGGTAAGAGCCTGGAAGCTATTGACCGAGCCTTCGCCGAGCACAAGGGCCCCTTTCCTTGAGAGGGTTGAGATTGAGAAAACGTGGCAACATGGTGAAGAATTCGATGGAACTCGAACCAAACCATAGTGTAGCCTCTCTGCCAGTTGTTTGAAGCTCTTCCTAGCAACAATTGTTTACGTACGAATGGTAACGATGTGCATGCTGCTGTCGGCAGCAAGGCTGACTAAAAAGAATAGACGCAGGAATGAAGCACACGGTGGCTTTTTGAAATAATTTTACAAAATCCAAAGTAGCTAATAGGGTATAGAGAAATGGTTTAATTTAGAACAAAAAGGCAGACAAGAAGAACCGTTGCAAGCTAGACGGCACTTTCAATACTCTCACTGGCCGCCTGCGCATTCTTTTCAAGACCGATAAGGAAAAAATCAGTTTGAGAACGAGACAATGACTCTCATTCGATAGCCTTAGACGAGAGCTTCCCATTTGTACAAGCACAGCGACCCATTTATACAAGCGCTGTTGATGATAGAATGTGAGGTCAAAGCTAGTGTGGGCATTGACACAACCATGCCCAGTGAGAGGACTAACCGGATTGGGAACTAAGAAAGGAGGACCCTGAACGCGAGATGTGGCTCTTGCATATCTTTCATCATTGTGGTTTGGCTGTTCGATGCTAGCCATCGCCATCGCTTTTGAGCCTATGGGCACGAATTCTGCCCTCATTTGTTGTTTTCTTCATCTGCGGTGAAACATGATCTCATCCTTTGGCTAGCTTTTTTTTCAGAGCTTGTTTTTTATTTGTTCTCTGCTCCACCTGAAATGCCTAAGAATCGACCCGCGACGTCGGGCTACGCTCGCCTCGCACAGGCAGAGGAAGACGACGATGACGGTTATGACTTTGATCGTGAGGATCCTTTCGCTGGCAGTAATCCTATCTCCTCTTCCAGTAGGCAATATGCGCCCATACAACCCTCGCGGCGCACCGAGCGCATGAATGGGTCCAAGTCTCAATCACCTAACGCCCCTCGACATTGGCGCCGGCACCGTAGCAATTCCGGAGTCGATATAAAAGCGATCAATGCGCGTCTGGAGAAATGGGCCGATGAGATCGCGTCTAAGTTCAAAAGGCGTGACAAGAAGTCGGCAAGAGACGATGAGCAACCGGAGATCCAACATTCTGTATTTATCGCGCCGGAAGGCATAACACCCGCGCGGGAAGCTAATCCGAACAACTACCGACCTAAGATGTCGAAAGAGGAGTTCGATGAGATTGTGGAGAGTGTGAGGCTGGCGATAGAGCAAGGCATACATCCTAAGCTCATCTCGCAAGGAAGCTCGGGAAGTTATTTTGCGCGCAACAGTGAAGGCAAGACAGTCGCTGTCTTTAAACCTAAGGATGAGGAGCCGTATGCAAGCAGGAACCCCAAATGGACAAAGTGGATTCACAGAAATTTATTTCCCTTTTTCTTCGGTCGTGCTTGTCTTATTCCGAACTTAAGTTACATCAGCGAAGCGGCGGCGTACGTTCTTGACACTCGGCTTCAAACAGGCATCGTGCCATACACGGATGTTGTCAGCTTTAGTTCAAAAAGTTTTCATTACGACTTTTGGGACCGACGCGCGTTTTACAGAAAGAAGAAGCCTCTTCCGGAGAAACCAGGTAGTTTTCAGATCTTTTTGAACGGATACAAAGATGCGACGCTGTTTTTAAAGGAGCATCCATGGCCTGATCAAAATTCGTCAACTTTCAGAGAAGGCAACAATTCAAGGAGGAAGAAAAGAAGGCGTTGGACTGAGGATTGTCGGCCCAGCGGCCCTCGAGATTCGGATGATGAAGACGAAGAAAATGACAGCGGCACGGCCTCAGAAAACGAGTCAAACAGGCGTACCGAGTTTTGGACGAGGAAACTCAGAGAGAGCTTCCAAGAGCAACTCGAAAAACTGGTCATTCTGGATTACATCATGCGCAATACTGACCGAGGTTTGGACAACTGGATGATCCGAGTTGACCGTAGAAAAGAAGAAGCCAAGATCATTGCGGAACCGCCACAGAATAATTCCCGAGGCCCCGCACGAAACTCGTCGCCAGATCATGGCATGAACGGAGGTGTTAAAGGGCCAGAGGAGGAACCTTATCAGCGGAGAGAGATGATGAGTGCGACAAGCAGGAGTGGCACACCAATGACAGATCATGCAAGCGACGACATGACTATCTCTATAGGAGCTATCGACAATTCATTGTCATGGCCGTGGAAGCATCCCGATGCTGTACGTCAACCAAATCTTTTCCGACTGTCTGCCGTAGCTGACATCTCTCACAGTGGCGATCTTATCCCTTTGGTTGGCTGTTCCTTCCTGCTTCTTTGATTGGCCAACCTTTCTCGGAACGAACAAGACAGCACTTTCTTCCATTGCTTACGTCGAAAGTCTGGTGGGCCGAGACGCAACGGGAATTGCGGAGATGCTTCATGCGAGACGAGGATTTTCAAGAACGGATGTATGCAAAGCAAATTGCTGTCATGAAGGGTCAGGCTTGGAATGTGGTTGAGACCCTGAAGACCGAAGGACATGGACCGCTTGAGCTGACAAGGCGTGCAAGAGTCTATGTGTGGGACGATCTTGTGGATGTCCCAACTGTCGTTCCTATGCGAAGACCCAGCGCGGAACGGGGTCGTATGGTGAACACACGGAACAATCAGCAAGAAGACGAAGAGATGGATATCTCTGTAGCAGGCGCGTCGGCGCCAGAGCCTGACCTTCTTGGATTATCGACGCCCAAGGCCGAGGTACAATCCCCGTTCAATGTTAGCAGACAGAATAGCTCCATGGATGTTGGTCGTCCAAGGAACTCTACAAGCGAAAACTTGGAGACAGAAAACGGGCCGCTCTCACCGTCAAATTTGGAGTCTTTCACGGCACATCAATCTCCAGATCGTAAGACGGCTACAAATTATTCAAGAAACCATACCTCTTCCTCGTATAGACGCTCGAAAGGCCGTCCAAACCACCGTTCTCGAATGTCTTTTGAAGTTCCTCGGATCGGAAGTGGAACAACGCCAACAACTAGACAACGGAGGTTAAGTGTGGGGTTCTGGGATGCCGAGGACGAAGATGACGGCGATCTGGGCTTTGCAGCAACGGAGGAGAGAGAAGCTAATAGGGTACAGGTCGTCGTTGAAAGACTGGAAACAGTGAAGGGAAAGAATCCATTCTTTACATGGTGTTGAACGAAGCTGTTTGATTTTTCGCAGTGTCTGTATTTTAGCATTTGCATGGCGGCGGTGTTTGCTATTGCATATTTCGGAGTGCACGACTACAAGGACATGTGCATTCTAGTACCTTAGATGTGATGAGATGTGAACTCACGGTATTAAAAATTCGGATAGGATTTGAGTTCGATGGGGGCTTGATATGCTGGCTGGTTAAGTTGAACATGGGCATTTAAAGCAGACCGAAAGCATATATACGTGGGCTCCACTTTGTTTGTGTCCTGCTGGTACAAACCTACAGCCCCGACGATTTTAGTACTATATTCAAAACCTTGTAGTTTAAAGAAATTTTGTCTTTCCCAGAACCCAGCCGCGGTAAAGCGCCGCTTGCCTACTGCATTTCCCCCATCTCCCGCCGAGCAACGTTTTCCGCAAATGGAGTGTCCGTGCTCGGATGTTGAAGGCAGTCATCCATCATCATCACCAAGTCACTTGGTCATGAATGACTTCACACACACTTCAAAAATCGTTCAACTCTTACCTCAAACAATCGCCATACTTATATTCATTCTTCTTCGACTGCTATTTGCGTTCTTGTCTTCTTACGCCTAATGTAGCAGCCTACCGCCGGAACAAAAGTGACTTCGCCACGGATATCTGCGCGAGGTCTGCTCTGGCTTAAGAGCTATTGATCTATCTAGCTGAATTTCGTGATCTCGACCGGGGCCCATGAATCCAGCTTTGCTTTTGAACCCGAAAGCCTACAAGAAGAGTGAGCAATCTTCATTTTCTTCTGCTCTTTCTTCTCTTTTTCTTCACCATCTTCGACTTTTGGCGTGCATCGCACGGCACTGTGTAGCGAGTAATGGACTTTGAAAGAACATCCAGGAATCTCCCGGACATCTCTTTCACCGATCATGCAGCCTTGCGAGCTATCTCTGAGCCGTCGAGTCTCGGGATGACACACAACGTTTCCATGACGAAAACGCTAACATACACAGACGTTCAGTCGAAGAGCAAGAACCTTGAGGATTCAAAGAGCGGCCCCAGTGCTTCAAGTTCTGTGCACGATGCTTCTGGGGGATATTCTGGCGGAAATGGAAGTGACAAATCACGTGCAATTGGTGCAGTAACACCCTTAGATTGCCGTCTGCTATGGAGGACTTCACCATTTACTAATACATCTCAGCAAAAGATAAGCCGGTACATGACTCTGTAAACGATGCAAAAACTGTCGGCTTGACTACGAAGCGAGCTCATCGTGCGCCCGCAGTCAGTCCTGGGAAAGGAACACAAGACGAACCTGCCGTTATCACTGATGAGGATGAGCCCCGTAACATTAATTCTGCTAGTTTGTACGAAAAGACTTTTGGACTTCAAAGGCGTACCGAAGTACCCATCAAGCGACGTTTAGGCGGTGCTTTAGTAGAAGACGTCAATGACGAAGCAAGCAAAAAAAGGAAGCTTGAGATCAAGGGCGGAAGTGGTGTCGTGTCAGAATTTCTCGAAGATGAGAAGCTAAAGGACGCTGAAAGGCTCGCAGACGGCATTGGTCTTGCAAATGCTATCGACCTTACAGGTAATTGATTCGGAGAACGTGGACGTCTGAGTACTAACTGGACACGAGATGACAACCCTCCGGCTGCCGAACATCAAGAAGATTTGGATAGCGAGTCGCGAGTTTTGCTTGGGAGACTTGAGCTTTCAGGAAAAGGATCGCCCTACGCTATAGTAAATAATGTCCCATTTATGAAGCCCGGAGGCATATTTAAGCCGTCAACCAAAGATCCTAAATGGCCATCAATTCCTGTGCGACTGGTACACGAGAAATCAATCCTAGTTCGGTTAGTTGACCCCATGCGACAGCGGTTCGGAACGCTTGATGGCAACACAGCCAAAGCGATTGTGCCGTTAATGGAGCAGCTACCCGGTGTATCTTTCAAAGTTCTTGTCCAGCCACGAAAGAGGATAGGCGACGAACGTGAAGGGGATACTGTATCGCAGCGTGCAGATCTCTTTATTCGAATATTTGCTCGCAAGAAGGATGCAAAGCGCATTGGAACACATCTCTCTCATCAGGGAGTTTGGCTGCGGCAATGTCCGGTTGGTCTAAATGAGCAGTACTATAATCCCCATGATCCGAGATCCTTTTTGTCGCAAAATGCATCTTCAACAAGTTCGGCTACGCAGGCCGTGCCCTCTGTGATGCGCACAGTCGAAGAGATTAGATCAGACGTTCTGAACATGTTTGACTCACTCACACAGACCGAACAGCTTCCAGAAGCGAATCAACCTACTAATGTCCAGACAAAGTTATTATCACACCAGAAACAAGCACTTTATTTCCTTAAGGAACGTGAAGAAGACCGCTCATTGCCTGGGAAGGGGACCGGTGAAACTTTCCACCTCTGGAAATCAAATCTTGCAGCGAACGGAAAAGTTACATACTATAACGTTATTACGGGAACAGAGCGTACGAGTCGACCCCCGCTTGTGCGGGGCGGCATCCTCGCTGATATGATGGGACTTGGAAAGTCACTCAGCATGCTGTCACTGGTGGTCGACTCGAAGGAAGAAGCCATCGACTTTTCGAAACTAGCGTCTCATGCTGCAGATAATCCAAGCCTTAAGGCAAGCTCGCGAGCCACTTTACTTATTTGTCCACTTTCTGTGGTGTCAAATTGGGAAACACAAATTAAGGATCATCTTGCTCCCGACGCGCTGAAGTACCACGTGTACCATGGCAAGGACCGCATAAGTGAACTTGAGGAGTTGAAGGATAATGACATTATCATAACATCTTACCATACAGTCGCAAATGAAATGCGCAGGCATACCTCACCCTTATTCAAGGTCAGATGGTTTCGCATTATATTGGACGAAGCTCATATGATCCGAAATCCCGCTGCCGGAATTTCTATTGCAACTTGCGAGCTCTTCGCTGAGAGGCGCTGGGCAGTTACTGGAACACCTGTGCAGAACCGCTTAGATGATCTTGGAAGTCTAATCAAATTTCTGCGAATCCCGCCGTTTGACGAAAAGGGAGCGTTCGCCCAATATATTCTATCACCATTCAAGAATGCCGATCCCGAAATCCTTCCGAAGCTACGTCTCTTGGTGGACAGCATCACCTTGCGACGTCTAAAAGACAATATCGACCTACCAAAGCGGCGAGATGTTATTGTCAGGCTAAAGTTTACCAAGGAAGAAAGGGAGCTCTACAAAATATTTGTCGCCGATTCGAAGAGCAAGGTTCAGCTACTTGTTAATGGCGAACGCATGGGGGGCAAAAGCTACGCGCACATCCTTAGGTCTATAATGCGCCTAAGATTAATATGTGCTCATGGAGAGGAGCTTTTGAGTGACGATGATCGGAAATTGTTGGAGGGTTTGACAAAAGACAAAGCGATTGACCTGACAGAAGACGATGGCGACGATGAGCAAGACGATGACGAAGTTTTGAAATTATCACCGAAACAAGCATGCGAGATGTTAGAGCTGCTTCGCACATCTGGAATCGACGACTGTCCAAGGTGTGGTGACAAGATCATGAATAGAATTGATTCTGATGAGGATGAAATTCGTGCGGATACAAACACGATTGGTTACATGACAGGTTGCTTTCAAATAATATGCCCTCGCTGCTTTCCAGAACACGAAACTCAGATAACGGAGCTGATTGCGCGAAACATTCAGGAAGAGATTGAGCGCCTAGAAAACCAGGGCATCGATGAGCCGGATGTCAGCATCAACACATACAACTGTCCTTATTGCGGGACAGAGAATGTGAAGCAAGGCCACTACAGGATCCTCCAGTCGGAAGTAGAAGCATACGAAGCAGAGAAAGCACGCATTCGCAATAATCCGAAACTTGCGAGGCAGATGGGCTTCTACCGTGGTCCACACACTAAGACCTTGAAGTTGATTGAGTATCTGAAGAGCTTCGAGGCTGAGGATCATGCTTCGCCGAGCATAGACCCTATTAAGAGGTTTGTAATTATTTTGAGTGTACTAGATTCCTGTTCTGACCGCTTTGAAGTGTTGTTTTCTCGGCCTGGTCTTCTCATCTTGACCTTATTCAGATTGCTCTTACGGCAAACGATATCAAGTACGCACGCCTCGATGGCTCAATGTCTCGCAGGCTCCGCGCTCAAGCTGTCTACGAATTCACCAACAATCCGGAAGTTCGTGTTATTCTTATAACGATTGGCGCAGGTGGCTTGGGTCTCAATCTCACCGCAGGGAACAAGGTCTTTGTGATGGAGCCGCAATTTAATCCAGCAGCAGAGCAACAAGCAGTTGATCGAGTGCACCGTATAGGTCAGACTCGCGAGGTCGAAATCATTCGCTTCATCATGCATGAGAGCTTCGAAGAGAACATACTGGCTCAGCAAAAGAAGAAGATTGAGCTTGCAGATTTGACAGTGAACAGAAACAAAAAGATGGACAAAGCCGAGGCAGCCAGGGCAAAATTGGAAAGTCTGAAAAGTTTGTTCCGCTAAATTATAGAACGATGGTGGGATCATTTCGGCGAAAAAAAAAATAATCTATCAAAGGCGTTAGGGTTGAGTAGATGCTAAGCGTATGGACTGAACGGCGATGACTTACGACATATCCGCAGCTTACAAAAATCAGTCAAGCAGCGGCAGAAGAGAACGAAGAGAGAAGCCTCCACGCTCGTTGGAACGTTCGACGTTCGCTTTTGAATACTTCGAGTCACGGACCAGCAGAGGTACCAAAAGGATGCTTGATAATGCAGGCCAGAACGGCTTATTGCCCAAAAGCGAGATATACATACATCAATACTTACACGGAGGCAATGAACGACGAATGGATGCATTCGAAATGCGTCTTTAAAAAACGAAGTTCTCCACGAAAGATATCTACTACAGTAGAGAGATCAGGTGCTAAATAATGAGACCTACTTGATCTCCTCGGATCTGATTCACGGTTCGCGTGATATATAAAAATCCATAACAAGGAAAACTTTACATCCAACGTCCACGTCATAACTTGACATTGTCTGCTTTGTACAGCATACCCATCTCTTCGCCCGACCTGACAAAGGCCTTCCAGTCAACGTCCTTACTTGGTCCTCCAATGCTTGTGACCTCATCCATGTCGACCAAGCCGTCGCCTTCCTGCCATTGTCTGAAACCCCTTACAGAAAACAAATGCCTCATCGTCGGTCTGCCGTGTGGACAATTCCACGGCTTGTCCAATTCGCCCATGTGCCTTACCACCTTCTCCATCTGCTTGTTCGTCAAGGTCTTGCCAACCATGATTGAGGACCTGCACGCGCGCATGGCGAACATTTTTCGCACCTTGGAAGGCCTCGGGACGTCTCCACGCGCATTCTCCGAGTGCTCAGCTAGAAGTGCGAGGAGCTCCTCCAAGTCCGAGAGAGAAAAGGTGACCTCACGAGACATGGGAAGGGAGACGAGCTTGCAACGCTGGCCAACAGGAGAGTTTCCCGAAGTGTCCGTGCTGATTTCAAACCCGTTCTTCTCCAGGGCAGCGCCGTGATTGAGAATGATTTCTTCTTCGATAGCGGTCAGATCAAGCTGCTTGGGATGTACGAGACGTTGATTTTGTACCACGGTTTGCGACTGCAAGCGTTCGAAGTTGTACTTCTCGTCCGAAGCATGCTGGTCAATTATGAAGAGTTCGTCGTTTCCTGAGTCCTTTCGAGCGACCGCAGGGCGACTGACGAGGATGAAACCCAGGTTGAACTGTCCAATGACGCGCATGCGGCCAAAGTCCGATTTTGTGACCGTAAGAGACAAGCGTTCTTCGACAGAAGTCGCGTTTTGCTCATCTTGCGCATCATGAAGAGCCTCGTGGTTTTCTGCTTCATGCAATGTTGTTGCTTTGGTAAGCTGCCTGAGCTGCCGCTCTATACACTGCTCTGATGTCTTTAGGCGTTGTAGAAGTTGCAAAGTCGAATACTTTCGTCCTCTTCCTTTTAGGACATTAGTTGCTCGTTTTATGTTGTCGCTTGACGGTCTAGCCGCTGTCTCCTCGGCAGCTTCAATCAATTCAGCAATGCGCGCTTCCTCTCTAGCTTTCTGCTCACGCTCGTCAAGATATTCATCGTCAGAACCAGCTTCTGATGCCGAAACCGATATTGGTGAAGGTGGTACGTGATCGGAAATGTCATCCTCGGGTGAAGTAGTCTGGCTGTTCTTCGTCGTTGTTGACGGTAAGGGCTGCGCATTCTCCCGTGCCGTTGATCTGCGCCGCATGCGGTCATTCATGTTCGTCGCGCTTCTGTTCTCCTGGATGACATCGTCTTCACCAGCCGTCGCCTCCACCCCAGGTGCAGTGAAAAGGGAAAGACTGCTTACGAAGCTCGGCATAGCCTTGTCACCAACGTTTATCACCTTTGGCATATCCGTGCGTCTTTTCTTTTTTTCTGGGCTGCGGATTGCCATGCTTGTCGTCTGATTGCCAATGGTGACAGTAGCTGTGTCCTCCGCAACGCGTTTAGGCCTCATGCGATCAAATGCGTTTGGTACATCACCAGGGACAGCAGTTTTTGGCGTCTTCGAGACGGAAGGAATGCTTTCCTTAGAAGTGGCGATGTGGACTGGTTGCAGATCATCCTCACTATCGCTTTTACCTTCACTTTCTTCCGCAGAGTCTGAAAACTGTCGTGCTTTCCGGCCTACAATGTCTAGGCCCATGCGTTTGTTGAAATCCCGTACTGGCCGAGGGAGTTCATATTGACCCTCTTCCAAATCGGCTGTGGGCTCTATCGTTCGCTCTTCAGCACTATTCTCCTCGTCAGGGGCTGACTGTCCAGGTTTGTCGCTGTTCGCGTGCGACGATCCATTGGTTTGGAGTTGAACTTCCTGCATCTCTTCTACAGGCAATTCAGCCGTCACCGGCTTAGCCACATGCTCACGCATTTCAATCTCTTGCCCAGCCTTGTCTAGAAGCCGACTAGTTGACAGCGCCGACACCCTGACATTTGACTCTGACAAAACCTCCGCATCTGAAACTTCCTTCTCTTCAGAAGCGTTACGCAATGGTCTCTCTACAGAAAGCTGTTTAAAAGGTGGCAGGTGCTTGAGACCGCGGTTGCCAGCTTGTGGCACACTTTGTTCTTGGTTCTCGAATAGCTCGACCAGACCATCTTTTATCGCGTCAAGGAGAGCAGCCTGATCGTGCAAGAGAATGGTACGCTTGTCTGGCGAGACGTTCACATCGTACGCGTTAGTATCGATCTTGAGATCGGCAAAAATGAATGGCGACTGCGTGATGTTGTATGCTTTGTAGACATCATTGATTGCCTTCGAGACCTGAGGTAAGGCGCAGGGCCGAGAGTTGACAAAGAACATTTGGCGATCCGGTGTTTGCCTGCCTTCACCCACTACGGGTCGGCTGATGTGCCCTTCCAGACGAACCTCCCTGATCACATCCTTTGTCGGGTTCCAGCCTTTCGCCAACTGTATTGAGGGTGCGGTCGGGCGCAATTCCAAGCTCAAGTCGAGGGGGGTCAAAGCCAGCAGCGTCTTGGCTCCATAAACGTTTGCAATGTTCTCCCTGGTCGTGGGGTTGTTTTTCGTAGAGAAGACGACGACCTTTTTCCCCTTGCGCGGCACGTTGCTCACCGAGAAGCGCACGCCTGTGCTGACGCACGCGTAGGCGTGTAGCAAGCCCAGGACCTTGCCATATTCTCGTTTGATATTTTTCTCCAGCTCTTTCCTCCGGACCGGGAGATTATGAAAGATATTGTCAACTGTGACGGTGGTACCTCTCTGCGCTGCGACAACAGCCGTGCTCTTGAGTCGACCGCTTGTCTCGAACTCAAGCCTTGATCCCTTTGGTGCGTCCTGCTGGCGCGACGTAACCACGCTCAGCTTGCTCAATGCACACAAGGAACTTAGCGCTTCGCCGCGAAATCCGAAGGTTGTGAGGCTTCCCAAATCGTCGTACGTGGACAGCTTCGAGGTATAATGCTTCAGCGCGATGCTGGCGAAGTCTTCCGGCCCGATGCCGGTTCCATTGTCGGCGACCTCAATGGAGTCGAGTCCGTTGTTCTTGAACCTCACCTCGAGCGACGTGGCCGAGGCGTCGAGCGCGTTTTCGACAAGCTCCTTCACGACAGAGCACAAGTCGACTATGACCTGTCCCGATTGAATTTGGTGCACCTAAACAGCCACTGCTTGTTAGCGTCGACGTTGTGCATGTGTGCGAGACAAGAAACGCACCGAGCTGCCCTCGATTGGCTTGATGGTTGCCATTTCACCCCGTCACCATGTGGTTCGACTCATTTTGACCTGAATCTAGCCCCAGAATAGTCCTATCCGAGCTTTGGGCGCTGGGGTGAATTTGCGCAGAGTGTTCGCCTTTTTGGTATTCGCCGAAGTTGGGGTAAGGAATATCGCCCCCGCGGGTGAAGGATGACGCGTGCTCCCGTGACAAGGCGAGCGCCAGGACTTCAATCAGTGCGCTCGGCGACCCTTCTGTCCTGCCGAAAGACGAATGAGCAACCATTTTCTGGCTGCTCCGAATAAAAGACGTTCTGGACATGCCTACAACAATTGGGACTGCATAGATTACTTGATATTGAAGGCTAGCTCCAGGCTCAAGCCGCACGCTAGCTCACACGGCCGTTTCGCCCTCTCATCCGTATCTAACGGCCCCACCATCCTCTTTGAACCAGTCGTCGTTGGCCAGGCTCTCTTCTGTCGACGCGTAGTTTATGATGGTGCTTTTCATGCTTGTATATGCGTGATACGCGTCGACTCCGTTTTCGCTGCCCACGCCAGAGCTCCCAATACCTCCCCACGGACTGCTCGGGTCATTACGATGATGCGTGTTCACTGAATCTGGAGGTCAGCATGCCCGATGTGCAGCGAAAAGGTTATCAACGGCTCACCCCAACATATGCCCGCTTCAATACCTTCGCTCATCCTGAATGCACGACTTAAATCCTGTGTCCAAATCGCTGCTCCCAGTCCGAACTCGCTGTCGTTTGCCAGACCGAGCGCCTCATCCTCTGTATCAAAGCCGACGATGACGATGATTGGACCAAACGCTTCTTCCTTCCATAGCTTTGTGTCTGCAATCTTTGCCGAGGGCGAGTCGGCCAGCACCGTGGGCGGGTAATAGTAGCCCTTGGAGAAGTCAAAGGAGCGAGTTGACGACATCCGTTCGCCGCCGGTGACGACTGTGACGCCCTTTATTTTCGCCTCTTCAACAAGTGAAGCCGCCTTTTGAAGCTGTCGCTCCGAGATCATTGGACCCATGCTCGTGTTTGCGTCCATCGGATCTCCCATTCGTCTGACGATGGACTCCGCCTTGGCTCGGAGCTTCGCCAGCATAGATGGCAAGATGCTGTTGTGGACTATGATTCTGGTAGCCGCAATACAAGTCTGTCCGCTGGCGATGAAGGAACCGAAGGCAATGCCGTTGACGGCAAGCTCGACGTTCGCGTCCTCGAAAACGATCAGAGGCGCCTTTCCACCAAGCTCCGCCGTGAAGCGCGCCAGATTCTGGCCCGCAATCGCCCCAATCGCTCGCCCGGCCGGCGTGCCTCCTGTGACGTCGATTTTTTTGACAAGAGGATGAGAGACGAGGGCTTTCCCCACGGTGGCGCCGTATCCAGTGACAACGTTGAAGACGCCGTCGGGGACGCCCGCTTCCCGAAGTAGTTTTCCAAGCATCAGCGTCGTGATCGGCGTGAGCTCGCTGGGCTTCACTACAATACTATTGCCCGCCGCGAGCGCGGGGGCGATCTTCTTGACTGCAATGAGCAATGGGTGGTTGAACGGCGTGATCTGAACGACGACACCAAGCGGCCTTCGCTCTATCCAATTGTGCAGCTTGCCCGTTGTCGGCAGCACCGGTCTTTCCTCTACCCGCAACAGAGAGGCATAGTACTTGAACCACTTGACCAAGGACGGCACTTGGGCGTTCATCTCTCGGATAGCACGGCCGGTCTGTTGAACCTCGATCCGGATAAGGGACGGCAAGACGTCGGTGAGAAGAGCGGCTATGCGATCCAGCGTGTCGGCGCGAGTCTGGCGTGGAGCGCGAGACCAGCTTCCAGATTTGAACGCATCGTGTGCTACCTGAATGGCATCCTGAACGTCTCCATCGGATGCGGCTTGAACGCTGTGAGTCTATGAGCCTTCTTATCTGAAAATGCCACGACCTTCCACCGCAACGCACTGAGCAAAGATCTCGCCTGTGGCGGGGTTCTCGATAGGAATCCTGATACACCATTAATCTCTCGAAATAGGTTGGAGTCACGGTCCATGAACACACAAGTCGCCGTGGCCTTCGATCTCTTTGCCGTCAATCCACAAGAGGTGGGTTTGTGCTGTCATCGCGGGGAAAAGCAGATCTTATGGGTTCCGAGAGCAAGATCCTGATATTGATAAGCTTTGCCCAAAAAAGTCGCACAACCAGGGGATCTTTCAGTGCTAGAGCACCAGCAATAGAACGGACATCTAAGAATGGTTGTCACATAGCATAGAAGAACTCGGGAACGACTCCAGCTAGTTCTAGGCCCGACGAGTTTGCAGCCCCACATTGATAACCGTACTTTATTCACGTCGCTTCCAATGACATTTGAGATGCATAACAATCGGTCATGGAACGATATGGATGACATATTCTCTGCCGCGCGGCTATGAACAATGGAAGTGCACAGGAGAGCAAAAGACCCTTCCGCAGCTCGATTTCACCTCAAGATGCTTCCGAATCTCTCAGCATGCATTGGATGCTAGACTATCGCCTGAAACGGAGTCGCACACGTCTTTTCCATCGCAGCCTTTTGTTTATTCAAGGTAACACGGGCTAACTTCAGCAACAGTGGACCAGCCCCGGGCCAGGTTGTTAATCTTCAAGACGCTTCTCCATGAGCTCAGCTAGCTGGGCTTTTCTGCAGTGAAAGGGTCCCGCATCTGTAACGCTGTAAAACGGCTCACCGTTCTCGCAAGAACAACGTAACCAGTGTTCTTTTTTTCATATGATCTCGAAGCGTTTACCTTTTGCCTTTGAAGCTAGCCTTGAGCAGGACCAGCATAAGAGCGAACGACGCATTTCAAGTCATTCCCCCAAGATGGCCAGCAAAAAGCAGCGCAGTGGATCGAACCACCTGGAAGGCCTTCCACTTGAGATCAGAAGGGAAATTTTCACGTACGCGATAACGTGGCGCTGTGTTGATTTCGTTGAAGCAAATCACTGGTCCGTAAAGCCATTTGATCGACCTATCGTCTTTGTGTACATCAGAGGTAGCCCACGTATGTCCGAAGGCCAAGAAAGTGTTCGGACGGGTTTCTGGGGCACGGAAGAAATGACGAGGCTGATGCGCGTCAACAAGCGCTTCCATGCGGAGGTGCACGACTTGATCTACGGCAGCTTTGCATTCTTCTTGTCGTCATCATCAAATAGCGAGCAGGACTTTCGCTCGTGGCGGGACTGGCTACGGTCGAGAAACGCGGCTGCCTTAGACAAGATCCGATACTTCGTCATGCCCTTATTATCGTCTCAATTGGCCCGGCGAATGATGGAAAGGAAATCGAGACCGGAATATCAGCTCCGCACGTTGTTCCCTAACATGAAAGGGATAACCATAAACTATTTTCACAATGACAGCAGCGCGGGCCCGGATCTAGACGACGCCGCGCAGGTGGAAGCGCTGCTGTGTGAGGTTACGCTGTGGAAGGGGCTCGGCGTCAACGCAGTGATTTGTAGTCACCCCTCGAGCTGTGAGCGCGGCCAAGAAATAGTTTCAAAGGCACAGGAGAGGAACAAACAAGCGCTAAAAGAAGCGACAGCATTCGAGCAAATGATCACGTTCAGTAACTAAGTGGTGTAATGGAGGGGAATAATTGCGCCGGGGCTCCAGGAAGCAGCTGAATGAGTCATAGTGTTTCTGAGCCGTTCACACAAGCTAAGAGGACATTTGGATTTTCAAGAAGATATGGATAGCGCACCAGCCGAGTGACTGGAAACATATGATCTGTAGCGGCGAATGGCGCTGGAGATTCGGTGAAGACTCCATTTGAGCTGTACGGCATGGTTCGATGGACGCGCCACGTTGGCGAGTCACACTATGAAGATACCAAGCAGGACAAATCAACATAACAGTGCATTGGAATGGGATGCATACCCTTTTTCCTAGATTTGATATATTCGGAAATGTACCCCCACACGCATGGACGCGCTATCGTTCTTGTGGCCTTGCATCGAGTCAAGGAGCGTACTTTGCTGGCGCCAGATCGGATAAGCTACTTGGGCGATGAAGGGGGCAGCTTTCGGGCACGCGAGTGAGGGCGTTAGCAGGAGAGGGTACAGTCCCTTTCGTTCAAACGGGGCCCGCTTGCGGATTCGACGTTAAGAAGACGCTACGCCAGAGACACCGCACTGCGGTATGCGCTCGCGTGAGATGCGAGACGCGGAAACGAGTTCGCGGACGATTTCGTGCTGAGCCTCGCACGTCGAGCTGTGTTCCGCACCGAGGGCATCTCCGGGATCATAGCGAGCGGCCTGTCGTCTGTAGGGGCTCAAATCGCCGCCGTGAAAAGGCGTCTGATGCTGACGAGAAGAATGGTGCACACTCCTGGACGTCGCAGCGATGACTGTACCCATGTCCCTTTCCGACTTTCTTCGTCTTTGCGCTCACTCAAGGGACTGCAGCGATGGGAGCCAACGAGGGGCCGGCAATGATCGATAACAGTGAAATCGTACGATTCAAGTGGAAGTCCGCCTCCACACTGGAGCGATCTGAGGGCACGAAGCCCGTCAGCTCATGCACGTTCGCTCGGTTTGCCGCACCGTCGACGGGAGCTCGACCTGTCTCATGTCTGCGCGGTGGGGTGAACAGCGCTCCGGAGCGAGATTGGGCAAAGCTGGACGGACGCGAGCAACACGCCGTGGAGAGCACAGAGAGCATCGCAACAACGGGGGTTGACTGGCGACAGGAAACGGCGGCTACTGCAAGAGACATTGGGCTCAACAGTGGGCCCTGGACGCGGATGGACGCTCACAAGAATGACAATCAGCAGAGCGCGTTCGGGGGTAGGGGGCCTATGGAGCGACTGCGGGTGGAGCCTGCAAGGGGCGACGGGGCGGCCAACGGGCTCTTCTCGAAGCGAGCAAGAGTTCATGGCACAGCGGGTAGCCGCATCAAATCACACGTGGGCAAGCAGCTTGCGCCATGCAAGTCCCACGTGTGGATGGGGTGCGTTTGCTGGCAGAGCCGCTCGCTGCTTGGGCCGGAGGCGCCCAGGACGATGACGATCGCGAGGACGGTCGCGACGGAGCGAGGGCGAACGCAAATGAGAGGATGCGAATCAGGCCGCGACGCCGGGGGGCGGACGAAGCAGAGCCGGCACAGCACACGCCGTACATGTAACATGTGCGTGCTGGATCGGGACAAGACGCGCCCGTTCGGCCATGCAAGGACGGCGCTCAGTGGGCAGAGAAACGAGGCCGAAATTGGACGCTGGGGCGGCGCAGGGTGAGACACGCGCGCAGCCGAGGCGACCAAGTTGGCAGCCAAGACGGGCCACTGCGGGCGCTGGGGCTGGCGAGGGGGGCGCCTACGGGACAGTGGGACGACGGCTGAGCAGCGCGCGAGCAGTGGCCGGCCAGTCGTGGGTCGCTGCTGTCAGTCCACAGCGAACCCCCCCCCCCCCAATCTTGGGCTGCTCGTGCCCGGCCGTTACGCAACCACGTCGACCACCGCCAACACCAGCGCCGTCGCCGGCTCAACCACCGTCGTCAGCGTCCGGCAGTCTTCGACGTTTTTTCCATTTGCGTCGTTTCCACTTGCTCCCCGTGTCGGCCTCCCGCGGTTCCTGCTCCCCAGCACCACAACCACCGCCAGCTCCAGAACACCGAATCGTCTGCCACTTTTGTCGCCGAAACGTGACGGTGGTTCCCTGCCGCAACGGCCGTGCCTGCAGCACCCTCACACCACTCAGCGCTCCGCTTCCGGTTTGCCTTCGCACTCGCGAGACCTGTACGCATCTTCTGCCGCCTGCAGACACGCACCCCCTTTGTTCTCGGAAATACTAAAGGAGGGCCTGTTTGAGCCTCCGCTGATCGCTCTCGGGCCAACTCGCGTACCTGCTCTTACCCTCGACTGGTCCCTGGTAAGCACCGCTTCGCTACCCGGCTCCATCCTCCTCACCTCCATCGCTTTGTCTGTCCCTCGCTATCCCCATACCAGCCGCTCGCGTCGCTCTGTATCCGTCTTTTCGCTGTGCGTGTGATCTTTCTGGAGTCTGATGATTCATCTCTAGACGCACCTCTGTCCTGCTCTTGACCATCGACGTTTCCCACCTCGACCGCGCCCTCCTCCGCGAACCCAGGCACGAGACGATCTGGCCACCAGACCCTCCGCTCGCACCAAAGTGATCCGAGTAGCGCACGTAAACGACTTTAAAAAAAAATTCAAGATCAGTCCTGCTCCTGGCCTACGTGAGCATTCCTTGCGGAGATGGCACAGGTCATTGACAATCGCCAGAGCATGATGCAAGAGGTACGCGACTCGTCTCGTTCGATTCTACAAAGGTCTCCGCTATGCACATGTGATCTGTTGCAAATGTCTCCCACCGCGCTTCAAAAGACCTGCTTCGTCGCATCTGCTAACGCTCATCTTCTGCATCGTACAGTCGACCGCCTATCACACCATGGCAGTCAGCAACCGGGCCTCGACGCGGCTGTCCACCTACAGCTTGACGCCTACTCTTGCTCCCTCCATCGCTCCTTCGCACCTCAGCACCACGTCCGAGACGCCTTCCGAAAAGGCCAACCCTCTCGCGCAAGACATTCGCGAGCTGCACCAGGGCCTTGCCCGGCTCGACCAACCCAAGCTCGACCAGCAACGTTACGCCGTGAGTGAAACAAAGAAAGACGACATGAACAAGCTCGCCCTTGGCGCAAAGCTCGAGCGTGCGCTGGGCCGAAGGATGGTTTCGCAAGACGCCAGCTTCACCAAGGGCCTGCGGGATGCCGGCTCCTCGTCGCCGCAGAAGCCGAGATACGTCGACGTTATGGAGTACACGGGCCGGGGGGAAGGAAGCAGCAAGCAAATTGCCGTCTAAACTAAAAAGGTCCATCTTCCATCCGCCTCTTGCCATGCGTCCGGGCGCTTCCTTTTTTTTTGGTTTCGCATTCTGCCCTCGAACGAAGCAAAGACGAAGCAATGCTCAATTTCATTGACCTGGCCGCAAGCACGACGAGCGCAATTCTGGACGGCGAGGCAGCCTAGCTAATTGAAGCCTACCGAAGCCCAAGGTTCCCCGCCTGCCGCTGAACGTGGATTTGCTTTCCTCCTTTTCTCCTCGGTGGCCCTTTAGGCTTTGGGCATACAAACACTCTGCTACCTTTTCTTTTCTAGCTGCACACGTACAGTGGCAAAAGAAACCACGTCTTCCAGTTCTTCATCCTGCGCTTTTTCCATCACCGTGCCGGTCTTGTCCGCGGACATTATACGATCGACGGACATGGGAAATTGGGGGGGTGGTTTTTTTGTTTTTTTTTTTCTTTTCTCTTAAATTCTTAGTATCGCAGTATTTGCTACGGTCTCGGATTTCTGCTCTCTGAGGATCATGATGGATCGGGGTGACGGGAATTTATACCACTGAATGACATGCTGTTTACATTGCTCGGGTCTTTTCTCTTCCCCATCGTGTGTTCTCTGCGCGCTTCGTCTCGCTTCGCTGTTCCGCGCGGTGCTTCAGACCGACGTTACGATCACGGACAGGCAGCGTTCCTCAGCTATCACGAGTCTCGGAGTGAGCGAGAGGTTTGAAAGGTGACGAATGGCAGTGAAGAGCAAGAAGGACAGCGACGCCATTGCGAATCGGCGTGGCATTTGAGTGGTGATAAGCTGGATGCTACGTCCGTCGGATGTGACAACATTTCTGTCGGATCGTCTAGCTTGAACGCATTCTTTCGTGAGATGAACGTCTTTCTTTGATGCTATCTGCTCAACGTTACGTGATGAATTATCTCCATGACTTTTATTAAGCTGCTCCCAATTCAAGCCACTTGAGCTCGGATCGCCCAAGAGCGCAAAGTCGATGAATCTCCTCCCGCTTGGTCCGAAACATTTGTCCATTCTTCAACCTTTTCAGTTACGATACATCCGTTTTGCAGTTCATGCTAGGCCCTGAAAAATCACCCACAGATGCCACCTAGCTGTGCCACGCTGATTTTCTCAATTCACTTAGGGCGACAATCATCTTCCGCGACCTAGAAAGCCGATCAGGAAGTCCTTGAAGCTCTTTGGATCTGCTCGTAACTTCTCCAGGTACAGGTTCACATCAGCGTCTGCCGCACCCATTCCCCTGAGCTCTTGTTCAATGGAGGCTAGATACAACGCGCCAGTTTTCTTCAAGATTTCCTGTTGAAGTTGAGCGATCTCCGCAACAAGCTGTCTGCTGACAGGGTCCTGTACTTTGAATCCTGGCGTGGCGGGGATGGACCATGAAAGCGGGCTGAAGCGCGTGATGATGAATTGGTCGAAACCTGGCAAGACGGGCTGTGGTGGGATGCTCGTTGGCGAGGCCGGTGTCTCGCTGTTCGGGTTGACCTGGATAGCAGTGTCGGGGCCGCCCCAGACAGAGACCATTTTGGTGAGAACCCCAAACGCCGTGCGTGCGAGGGCGAGGTCGGAAGGATCACGGGCGAAGTGCTCAATCGTGGCAATCACAGATTCAAAATACCCTTGATTTCCTGCATAGGCTTTGTCAGGGTCGAACATTACAGGTATCGTGTCATAGAGCTTACTGGTGCTAACGAGAACGCCGGCGAGATCGTTGTTCAAAATCACGCCAATAACGTTAATATACTCCTTACGCAAATCGTTCAGCTGGATCTCGTCGTCTGTACCCTCCGGTGATTCGCCCAAGCGAGTGAAGATGCGTTGCAGGAGTGGCGACAGTATCACGTCAAGCACGCCAAACATCTCGGCCTTGAAGACGAACATGACCTGTTTCAGTTGAGCGAGGAAAAAGACGGTCTCTATCTTCGAGCTAGAGTTGGTTAGCAAGCCGTCCACCCACCGCGGAAGCTGAGGAAAGAGGCTGACACCACAGCCGCCGATCAGACGAGCGAATGCGAAACGAGACGCTTCCCGGATGAGCTGCGAAGAAGATAATGACTCCAGCGCGATCAGAATAGCCTCAGCAGCACGTAGGAACTCGGCAGAGACCTCGGGCGGCGGCGGGGTCGACGTCTTCACGCCGGGCATCCAATCTGTGTAACCTCGTACAAGAGTGCCTAACGCCTTGATGTCGTGGTGGAGCTGCATCTGAGCGCGCTCGTCTCCACTCTTTACTGCTGGAAGGGTTTGTTCCATGTCCGCGAAGATGGGATTCATGACAGATTGCACGTAGAGCAAACGTGTCTCCATGGGCAAGGACGAGTTGGATGAGATACAACCGATGGCTTCGAAAAGATTGCATTGATTGTCGAAGTGTGGATCCCGCCCAGGATCAACCTCGGAATCGTCGTCCTCGTCTTCGCTGTCATCGTCACGATCGACCGGCAGGGTGGCCTTGATCGTAAGCAGATCGCCAATAGCCTGGATAATGGTCTGTGACACTTCTCCGAGATGGCCGCGAAGACCGCGGACAAAGCGTAAGAACAAGTACCACGATTTTGCTCGAACTTTTTCACGAGGGTGATGTGCGTAGCGAACAAAGACGTCGAGCGCCTTCGGGATGAAGCTTTGGCTATTTTCAAAAAATTGGATGTAGCGAGCACACAGCTCCATATACTGGAGCTGAATAGCAGGGTGATTGTACGTATCGACATCTGACATGTGTTAGCGCCATTCAGACATACACGGGTACGCATGGGGCTTACTTGACTCCATCATCCTCGTCATCATTTCGACCAAACGGACCGCAGCGACGGATGACGGTTCACGTTTGGCGTACAGACCCTTGTTTTTCGACGCCAAATCACCAAACAGATACATTTCATAAAGTGCCAAGTCAAGCTCTCGCCAGTTGATCTCATTGGAGCCAGCGCCCAGCTTGTTGAGCGTGTTCGCAACCAGATTGGTCAACGTATCCATGTACAGCTGCTCATCGATGGCGGCGACATTTTGTTGCAACACGTGCAGCCGTTTACGAAGCTCCAAAAATTCCGCCTCGTCGGTTTGGTCCTCTTCTTCACCCCACGAGGCAGTCTCATCGTATTCCATCTTCTTGATGATGGCGTTCAGGATGGCCGGAAGCATGGTCGCATAACGCTGTGGCAATGCTTCTTTCTTGCCGAGTTTACGGAAGTACCCCAAAAGCTCCGTCATCGACTCCATGGCGGTCGAGCATACCTCGTCGTACTCATCAGAGAAGAAGCGAAGAAGGTAAGGTACAAAAATTTGAAGCAATGCGTCAGCCTTTTGCAGCGTCTGATCGTCCACACCACTCGTATCGAGGACAGAGATTGTATCGCGCATGACGTTGTTGACGAGCTTGGCCACCGCTTCTGCGAGATCAACGTCGTAGTCCGGTGTTCCCTTGAGTTCGGCAAGTGGGGGGCTGGCGATCAGCTGTCCGACGACAGTACTGAGATTTAGGAATTCGAGCAGCTGGACTTTGGCCGGAGGTACCATTTTCTTGCCTGCGGTTTCAGAAATCGCGTCAATGGCAGCATCCCTGACCTTGACCTCCAAACTGGAGTGATCCTTCAGGCCCTGCTGGCCGGCCATGTCCAGCAGTGGCTGTAGAACGGTTTCGTTGACCACGAGAGAGATGTCCACCCAGCTGACCCAGCGTGCGAGAACACGCAAGCACATTTGAACAATGTTGAGGTCAAGAGATCGCCAGTTGGCGAGGATCTCTTGCCATGACTGGGACACCTTTTGTGCGTCCCTTGCTCGAATCAAGTCTTTGAGGTCGGCGTTACGCTTGGCTTCCTCTGGCGTGCGTGGGATCATGACGTCGGCAATCTCGTCATGGATGGACTCGAGGGTGCGAAGGTACAAGGCCGTGCCCGAAATGTTCGTTCTCCCAAGGGAGCCATTTCCTGCCAGGTCGAGAAAGTCGTCAACAAAAGATTCCCAGCCTGACGCATAGAGCGTCGTAAAAAGGAATGTCAAAGTTTGCGTGAGCTTGTTGCGTATGACGAGCGAATCTGCCGTGTCGTCCGGGCTCCCCGTGCCGTACTTTTTCCGCACATACATCCACAAAGTCTCCTTTATGTACAGCCTCGCCTGATTTTCCACCTGTTCAGACTTGATCGAATTGTTCAGCGCGTCGAGGAGAAAGTGACGGGTGTTGTCGGGTGGCTGGCGGTCCTGAACAAAAAGTGGGAGACAGACTTGCCATGATGCGGGATCGGTGCGCAGCTGGTGGATGAAAGCTAGGGCTTGTTGTTTGATGTCTGGAGGCGACGTGTGATCCCAGGCAATATTTATCGCATTCTCAACCTGATGCAAGCGTTCAGCATAAGTAGGCACGCGTGTGACCGCCGGTGCGGGCGTGTGGGGTCAATTTACCTGTGCGATATCCATTGCGAGATGACTTCCCCGCCAAGCTACTTTTTTTTTTTAAATAAAAAAAGCAAAGAAGGCGAAGGATTCGGAGTTGAATAAGAGATATGCTACCGTGGGAAATTCATTGGGGACAAAGCAAACGAGGACCAGGAGTCCTTGATCAAAGGCCTTGACAAAAGTTATGCCATTGTGCGACGGCCGTGGGTACAAGGCAGCGGCGGCGGGGGGTGGGAATCGAGCAGGAGGTTGTGTGGGACAAGATGGGAGTGGTCAAGGGCGCGATTTGAGGAGAGATGGAAGAAGGGAAGCAGAGTAAGCGGCTCAGATTCCACACGAACGACGGCAGCAACTTGTTTGACGTACGGTGGAGTGAAACGGAATACGATTTTGTTGGTTGTGATCGTGTGAGGTGCAATGGTTGGTTCGTCGGGCAGAAAGCTGCACTAAGCGTACACCCACTGCTGGACTGAGTGGGCAAAGTCACCGCTCGCGAACGTCGAACGTCACAGATTCACGAGGAAGATCTTCATGATCGGTTCATTCTCTGGCTGACGCTGCCATCGCGCTGAGCAGAGACGGTCCAGGCAGCCTTGCGAAGCCTCAGCAAAGCTTGAGTGAGAAGCTTGTGCTCTTGTCATTGCTGCGCGAAGGCGCGTGCGGGCTGGCTGAGCTGCCATGCGTGAGCGCGGTAAGCAGGCCAATATCTACTCGCTCACCCTCTCGAGGCAGATTGTCGAACCAGCTTGTGCTTGCGCACCGAATACGGGACACCAACAGCGAGCAGACAACTGCACGGACGAACGTGGGAAAGAAAAAAGCAACCTCTTGAGATCTACGCACACTCACGTGAGCTGTGCTTGGAGCGAACCTGCACCGACTGCAGACGCTGAGACGTCGCGTTCAGGAGAGAAAGCATCGTGGCCGCATAGCTAACCAAGTCTTCCGTCTCCATACTCTTTACACGACTCACGTTACGACGAGCGGACAGGTCGCACGCGTCGGTCAGAACTTCCCAACGGCTGTGTGTCACAGGAGGCGCGCGACGCCTCGCCCAACGATTGCGAAGCGGTGTAGCGACCTTTAACGCACCCCGCGAGGGCGAACTCGCCTCGTGACAAGGCTGAGATTTCAAACTAGAAGCGCCAGTGCTTTCTGGTGCGTGGAGCGATGCTACGCTCTACGCACGCGCGGAGACGGGGCGTTGTTGCATTTTGTTTACCTGTGTCAAGGTGCAAATCTGACTTTTCTCCACCACTTCCAGAGGCCGTCGATGATGACGAGCAGCATCATCATCGTCACCATCATCATTATTTCAATGATCCACGATCCAAGCCCCTTGACACGCTCGCCAAAGTTTCCGTTGACAACCATGGTTCGTTGACAGCCAACGTCTATCATGCTGTGTGCTACCATGGATCTGCGCCGCCCGCTCCCCCCCCCCACCCCCTCTCTTTCGCGAGCTCTCTCCGCTTCGACAGCATCGTCACTGAGGCTCTTGGGCTGACATCGCACCCAATCAAGGCGCCGTGTAACGTCGCAAGGACTGGTCCATTGGCTGGGCCACGGCTATCCATTGCGCGGCGCTGTGTTGATGCGCTTCGCTCCCCCTTGGCTTGCCAACGCACCGCGAGTGCCTGGGCGGCATGCAGTCGAGATCGCCTCGTGACAAAGCGACAGGAGACTGAACGCGCATCTGCTCGTTGCTCGCAGCAAGGGGTAAAAAGATCCACGAAAAGTAGTCGGCGGTGTGGGTGACGAGGCGGCGATTGGCCACGGTGGCCGCATGTGGGCTGGCACAGGCCATGACTTCATCGGCTTCTGCGCGCGCTGTCCGTCCCACCCCCCACTTCGGCCTGCGTATCATAAGCTTTTCGTGAGACAATTTTCTCAACAACAAACAATCCACCCACGATCTGCCCTTCTCTGGCCTACAAAATCCGCCTGCCCGTCTTCCTGCCTTCGTTTTTGTGCAATTGACTGTGCCTTCTTCCGCACTTTGTACTTTGACGAGCGATACCCCCCTTCCCTCCACCTGTACCAGCTCTCCAGCTCTCCAGCTCTCCAGCTCTCTAGCTCTTAGCTCGCTCTCGCACACCACAGAAAAAACATGGGCAAGGTAAGACATGCAAAGCATGCCAGCAAGCGGGCAAGCAAGCAAAGGACGCCGCGTTGCCGCTTCGTGTGCCCTCGAGTCCGGACCTCGCACACAACAATCCGTCAACACGCCTCGCCAGTCTTTGTCGCTGTCTGCCCCTTCCCCCCACCCAACCCCCCGCACGGTGTTGATGATCTGACTTGTGCTCACATGTAATTGGCAGGTTGACTACGTCCTTCTCGACTGCGACAACACCCTCGCTAAGTCTGAGTTCCTCGCTTTTGAGGCCTGCACCGATCTGTCCAACGAAATTCTCGAGAAGCATGGCATTGATCATCGCTACACCGTTCACCAGCTGCTCGAGACCTTTGTCGGCCAGAACTTCCGCGGCATGTGCAACAAGCTGCAGGAGATTCACAACTTCAAAATGACGCCAGAAGAGGTTGACGCATACGTCGACCGCGAGCTCGGTGCCGTCACTGCCAAGCTTACCGAGAAGTGCGAGCCTTGCCCGGGTGTGCCCGAGATGATGGAGTGGATCAAGAACCAGGGCTACAAGATGGCTGTCGTCTCGACCTCGGCCAAGCCCCGCGTCGTTGCCTCGATCAAGAAGATTGGCATCGACAAGTATTTCCCAGACGAGCATGTCTACTCGGCCGCAACCTCCCTCAACCCACCGTCTTCGAAGCCGGATCCAAAGATCTACAACTTCGCTTGCGAGCAGCTTGGCGTCAAGAACGAGCGCTGCGTCACCGTTGAAGACTCCAAGTCCGGCGCAACCGCTGCCATGCGCGCTGGTATCCCCCTGATCGCATACGTCGGCATCTACGGCATCGAGGAGGGTCAGGAGAAGATGGAGAAGATGGCCAAGCTGTTGAAGGAGGAGTGCAAAGCCGCTGCTATCATGTACGATTGGAAGGACTTCCCTGCCTGCCTTGCCGAGGTCGAGAAGAACATCCCAGAGTAAGCATAATGCCGTGCTTGTGGATGTAGGCAGCAAAGTGACCACACGAAGATCTCACCTGTAAGCCTGGGCAAACCAAACGCCCGGGTTCTCTACCCACTTATCCCGACATGCCTCATAGCGATACTATCACCGTCCTGTCGCTGAACCCACGACTCAAAGAAGAAAATTCAAAAAAGAAAAGCAGTGCCTAGATGACGACATTTTATAAGGCAAGCGGGTAATTGTGCACCGAACACGACCGTCACATATATAGAAAACAATCCTAGACGATTTTCTTCACGAATTCCTAGCGCAAATAACTTGCATAAACCACGCTTGCATCATTCTAAGTGAAACGGCCATTCGATTCACTCTAGCAAAGTGTTGCTCTGCTGTCTTGACTCTTGCGTCGTAAACTATTCGTACCTGAAAACCAACAGTTGCTTCTAGCTTCTCGAAAGCATCGGTGGAGAATGGAAGTAATCGGCCTGCCCGCAGAAAATAAAAGTTTCGAGCCCATCGTCCACACGTAGCCAAGTTCACCATTTGCTTTCTTTGCGTGCCAGGAATTCATTGAGAATCTTGACCTGCTCTTCCAAGGCCTCCAACCATTTGGCCAGCTCCGCATTTACCTTGGCCTCGTCGCCCCCTAGCTTCTGGTAGAAGTCCTTCCTGTACGGCGTGGCGGACATGGCCGCGCTGAAGATGGGCTTGACCACGAACGAGTGGTGAGGCTTCAAGGTGTCCGTGTACGCGGAGCGGAACGAATCAGCGAGCTCTTGGTTCGGATTCGATAGGTTCTGTCGGAGAGCGAGAGCAGTGAAGTGGAGGCCGCGCGTGAGCCAGAGCAAGCCTGCGTTTCTCACGATCAGTCGATGCCATGCCGCGTGCGGAGGATAACACCAAAAGAAAATAAAAATTAGATATCAGAATCTCAATCGGAAGGACTTGCAGCTCGTACCTTCTGTTGCCGTGTGCTTCTTGGAGGCGAGCTCAGCCTTTACCAGCCCTTGCAGCGTGGCTCCGTTGACGGGATCAGCAAGGAAGCGATCCCGTATCTTCTTGATGTTTCCCAGCATGTCGCTCTTGACAGGCTTGAAGGCCACGCTTCCCAAGACATCTGATCCCCTCGGCTTTCAGTCAGCTCTCGGCGATCGCTCATTGCAAGGAAAAAGAAAAGAAAAATATTGTGTGCGTGGCTGGACGAACCAAAGAGAGTGGTGAGAGCCTCGGCGGCCTCGAGGAATGCCTCCGTGGATATGGCGTTGTCGTTGGCCTTGTCCACTGGCACGTCCACGAAGCTTTTGCCAAGGGTATCAAAGAAGGTTCCGCCTGGGGGGATAGAGGGAGCTGCCATGTTGATGGTGTGGGTGGTGGTGGTCGTCGTCGTGTTGTCAAAGCTTCGGAAAGCGAAGAAGCCAGGTCAATTGGGAGCGAAAAGAAATATCAAAGACGTGATAAAGGCGAGGGAATCACAGCTGTGAGCGAAAGTGCGTGGCAGTCTATGTTCGAGGTTCGATCAAGCGGCTGGTCGGGAGCAATGAGTGCAGTTTTGCGTGCGGTGAGAGAGGTGCTGGTTACACGTCTTCTTCAACCTGCGGGGCAGACCGCCCCTTCTCAAAGGTGGGGCATCTTTGGGGCGCGACATTGGTTACTTCGCACGCTTCCGTTCCTTCAAAATCGCCTCATAATGAATCGCGCTGTTATCCTGGTAGCTGGCCTGGTTTTGCCCGTGGTTCTGGAGACGTTTTGCCAAACGTAGGAAATAGAAGGTCTCAATCGTGCTCGGACAGAGCACAGATGGTTGCTCTGTTGCCAAGCGGCGGCTGAATATGGAACGTCGAATAACTAACAACTGATCGTCCAAGCCACGAAGTATTGATCTCTATCGTCTCACAATACCTGGTTGTTGACCTGGAACAATCTTCTAACACGGCAGGTATAGGTGATGCCACATTTCTCGTGCCTATCTCTTCCGCTTTGTGCTCTTTCAAGACTCTTTATTCACTAGCAGTGATTTTGGCCGATGACACTCTCATCGCACCGACCAAATTACATCACATAGGGAATACGAACTACTTCGTAGCTCTGTTTTGTATTCCGGCCTCAGAGAGATCAACTGGCAATTTAAGGTTCTGCGGCACAAGATTGCGCGCACATGGAGTGGCGTGAATGGAAATGCTTCAAGCGGGAGATCGCGGGTCACCACACCGCAAGCTCTTCAGAATTTGTGATTACTAACATGGCGAGATGGACTTGTCATTCATATAAAGATGTTCACGAGCCGTGGTCTATGGTTCTCATACACTTGGAAGCCTACACGTCAGCATTGGGCTACTAACCACCGTTCGGGAAGGTTACGCGTTGACCCAAGCACCTCGTTTCAGATCAAATGATCCGTCTTCAGAGAAGCAATCGTTTTAAAGACCTTCATTTGTCGCACAGTATAACTTTGAGCTTCAATTTAACTAGAAAGAACTGTCCACACGCATCCTCAGCAAGTAATCGTGTTTGCTTTTGAGCCTGAACCAGACATCATCGGTAAGTTAGCCAGTGTTAATACCATCACCATGTGGAACGAATTGACGCTGGCCAGGAAAATGTCCATTTTTGAACAAAAAAAAAGGTTTCAACTGTCAGACGTGAGAATGAACAACAATTGTCAACGCAGTCTGGACACGAGTGCAATATGACAAATTCGGCGTCTTGCCGCCTCGTAGGCTGCTGTTCGTTGCGCCCGATTAGACCTTTTTTTGTGATAACCTTCAGTTCTAAATGCATTAAATTTCCGAAGAGATAGACGCTAAGAGCTATTTCGGGTTTGAGTTTGGGTATCATGGACTTTTAAATAACAAATTGCTACGCCCGCTCCCATTTCAAAGCAATCATTTGCCTAAGTATTTCATGCCACTATGGCATCATTCGGCGTAGCATCAACACCTTGAAAGAGCAATGTCTCGTGAACTTTGCAAAGTTCATCCCAACCTAGCGGCTTTCCAGTATCGCTCCAGGCACTGACACTTGACTGCAGTCTTTCCGTACTATTGTAGGGTTCGTCTTTGAACCAGTTAGCATCATTGATGCGTCCGTCTCCGATCCTGTTTGTGCTGTCTATGCCTCCGAAATGCAACAACCGTTCAGCGTATGGATAGAACCACATCCGATTCCACCAGCTGTCGCGAAAAGATTTGTCACCAGTGAAGTGCAAAACTGGAAAAGCAAATCCCGTCACGACGTTGACTCCGAGAGGTACGTCGGTCCACTCGGTTTCCGACAGCCGCGTGTAATCATGAATCTTCGAGAATGGCTTACTAGCCAATCTAACATCTTCAGGAAATCTTATTGCGCGTCTGCTGACGCTTTCGGACTCATAATATACTGGCGTCTGTTCGAACGTGATCCAGTCGATGTACTTTTCGTAAAAAGAGACCGTTTGAAACAAGCGCGACTCATAGTCAAGTCCCATGTGGAGTTCAAGGTCACGAGAGTCACGGGACGGGACAGCGAGATTCTCTTCCTTCAAGATGAATCCAGGGACCTCTTCATGTGGCGGAATATCAGGACGCTTCGGAGCACCAGCACTGCCCGGCCTGTTCAACTCGCGCATGAACTCTTGGTCTCCCCAAACGTCGGAAAGATACAGCTGGTCAGACCCGTGCAATCCGTATTCATCATCGAATGTTTTATTTATCTTTGACACCACTGCCTCGAACATTTTGCGCAGGTCCACAGCTGGGCCTATGATGGTGCCCGAATTGAGCCATCGTGGCCGAGCGTGTTGTGCATCGTCATCGTCCGTCAAGGGACCGAAGGCTTTAGGCGGGAGTGGAGACTCTGGAACGGCGTAACATGCGAGACGTCGAAGATCATATGGCCAGCATTGCTTATCAGGGCCCAGCAAAATGCTGTTCCGCACACCGTTCTGCGACGCCTGTACGGTGCCAAACTGCCTTGTCAATCGGTCGTTGGCTGCGTTGATTGCATCAAAGTATCGTTTGATCAGCACGTCCGGACCGAGCTGGAATATAACGTCGTAGCCATCCACCATCAAAATCAAGTCGTCATCTTTACTTCTCGGCAGGGACCTGAGGTAGCGGAGAACTCCGCTGACTTTGGCCAGGTGAGTCTCGGATGCATTGTACTCCCCAGCCCCCTCCCAATCAATCAGGACAGGGGCAGGGTACGAGAGGATAGAAGACGACAGAAAGAGCCTGCAGAAGTTGAGATTGCTGCTTGTTGCGACGATTAGCAGATGCAGGCGCCGGTCGCGGTTGTGGCTGGAAAGAAATGGAGTGAGGAGGTGCTTGCTGTGTCGCAACGGCAGGAGGGCGAACAGAATAAAAATCAACACGACGGCAGATAGTGCAATGCGAAATCCCTTGGGCAAGATCATTCTAAACGAAGAGAAGGACGCAATTCCAGAAACAAAAACCGAAGAGCAGAAAGAAAACCTTGAAAGAATTGTTCTGCAAGGTTAGGGATTTGGCAGCACGCGACACAGGCGTACATCCGGGAGCCAAGACGTGCCAAGCTCTTGGAGCTGGAAATCGAAAACGTCCAGCAGTTCACAGCTGTATATACTGTGGTACGGTGATGTGCAAGATTAGACGCGTGGACTTGCTGCACTCCTACGGTTGTCCTGTGGAGAACGGGATTTCGCTAAGCAGGGAGGGTGTGGAGAGTGAGTACGTCACTTCCGACGGCGACGGCGACGGCGGAACGATAAGCGAGATGCTGCATTGCGTCCATATGGTTCTGAGCAGCCGAGGATACAGAATCCCACGGCCCGAATATTTTTCCTAAATTTATCTAAAAGTATCGCATCGCATCGTGCAGAATGTAGAGGCCAAAGAGAGCATGGCGGACGTACGTGGCTTGATTGCCGCAAGGATCCAGCGGAAGATCCTCGACCGGGGACGCTTGCTAGCAGGCTCAGATCCAGGAGGCGACTCATGAAACATGCAGATCTACTTTGTACCAGAAATATAAATTAGACAGCGCTCCACCTTTTTATCACCAGAATTGTGGAGAGAACCTTTATACTAGCTTATAAATCAAGCCATCTTGCCAAAAAAAAAGAAAAAGAAACTGGATAATAATGGTTCAGAATTTCGCAATTTTCCTTCAATTTAATGATTGATTTCAAATAACTCATTTTGAATAGCATTTATTTATAGAATGACTAAATGCTCTACAAGAGTTATATATTCTGTACTCTCTTTATATCAAAATAAAGTATATAAACTAAGGCTTAAATAGTATATTGATGTCAAGGTAAAAAATCCATTAAAGAGAAAAATATATTATCTTATATTATACTAAGAAATTTCGCTGCTTTTACTTATTAGCAATGTATTCGTACAATTTCCCACTGGACAGAATTTCCTATTCTTAAACAAATTTCTCTCCATTAATCAACCGTTATAGTTGTCCACCCAGAATAAAATAAAGGATGTAAGGATAACGAAACACACACGCACACATGCATATACTGTACTGGGGAAAATGGTTTATACTCTAAAGGGCATCACATAATACAGGAGCAAGGGCCTCAGATATTATATAATATGGTAAGGGTATATAAGAAGAGGAGAGTAAGGAAGATAAGAGAGTGATAGCTTTAGACAAGAATAAGATAACAGAAAACCAGCTTTACTTTACCTTATACAGAACTTTGCTTTACTTTACCCTACTTTGCCTTACTTTATTTTACTTTATCTTTACTTTACTCTTCCCTATTTACTTTATCTTCTTTTATATCCTTATCTTAACTATCTTATTTTATTTCTAAGCTTCTTTATAGTTCCCATCTGTGGGAGGCTTCTCTCTCCCTCTTAATTTTCTTACCCTTAGGAAGGCCTTAATATTAAGTATCCTACCCCCTAAAATAGTAGTTAGCCTAAAACCTTTACAATTAGCACCCGAAGTAAGGCTATACCTAAAATCTAAAGGAGGATAGTCTCTACTTATAATACTAGAAATATAGTAGGTTAAAATAAAAAATAAGAGTATAGACCTATAGAGGAGATTAATAAGAAGAAAGATATAGTAATATTAGAATTTATTAAGATTATTATATCTAAGGTATTATTCCTTAAGTAGTAATAAAAAAGAAATTAAGGTTTTACTACCTAGTCTCCTCTAATTATATAAAGATAAAATCAGTTTTCTAAAACTCTTTTATTACCTAATTTTAGGATATATTATATTACAGATCCTAAAAGAGTTAAAGTTTATAATCTATCTCCTTAGCCTGGTTTAGGTTAGATTATACTATCTAAAAAATATTAAAAAAGATAGGGATAGTATATAAGATAAGAAAAAGGAGGTAAAGAAAATAGCTTATAAGAAAAGAAGAGAAAGAAGGGAGAATAAGAGAAAAAGAAGGAGATTTACTTTAGACTTAGGATTATCAGATATAACACTGCTTAATTTTTATTACTACTATTTTTTTACTAAAAGTAACTACTGTACTGGGGAAAATGGTTCATACTCTAAAGGGCATCACGTGATACAGGAGCAAGGGCCTCAGGTGTCATATGATATGGTGAGGGTATATAAGGAGAGGAGAATGAGGAAGATAAGAGAGA